ACCATTCAGGATAAAATGCACAAACATGGGGAAACTACAAAGGCTGAAGAAAGCAGAGACAGACTTTCTACAGTCACTGTCCCAGTGACTTCCTTTCTACTTGGTGTTTTAGAGCTCCTGCAGCCTTGAGCTCCATATGATGGAGCACACTTGCAGACTTGCCCTCTCCTCAGCTCAGCCAGAACATGCCCACAGGCATGAGTGTGTGCTGGGCCCACTAGCCTCTGGTATTCTCAAGAGCCCCTGGCTCAGACTTGCTTGAATGTGGAGGATTAAATGAGGTAACACATGAGAAGCTATATTGTTTTAAAATATATGTGCTATATAATAAGGTTAGTTGTCTGTGTTTTCTCCATTTCACTCACCCCCATGTGTTCTCAGCCCCAAGAGGCTGACCCCTGAGAAAGGCATCCTCCTGGGCACCCTTGCTGGTGACTTTTGGTTTGGCCAATGGGAGGCATCCAGCAGGAGAGGGGGTTCAGGCACCAAAATTCCCTTCTTCTCTTTGCCCTTTAGCCTCAGGGAGGTAATGGCTCCCAGCTGATGGAACTCTCTGGGCACCTCCCTATTTGTTCCCTTAACCCTGCCTGCATCTCTGTTCATCTCTTAATTACAGTCTTTCATTTGAGCCACCTGGGATAAATTGTTTTCCTGTTGGCCCCTGACTGATAAACTCAGAGACATCCACATCTGTGTCCGATCAGCTGAAAGGGCCATCCCTGTGTTCCTTCATCATTGGGAACAGAGAAACTACAGTGTCCACTGATGGTTAACTTGTCTTCAACACAGAGCTTCCAAATTCCAAGCAAAGCGACCTTGCCCTTCCTTCCTCCTCCCATCTTTCTAGCTGCACATTCTTATAAAGCAGCTCGGCGTGGGCTGCCAGCAGTCTGACATCAGGATGGAAGAATACAGAGGCCTCAGAGGTTCCGCATTTTCTGGAATCTAATGATTCTGCTGATCCTCTGGTGTTTGGCAATAGCTATTTCAATGTCAAGATGCTTAAATAGTTTCTTTGTTCTTTCTGCTGTGTAACTAGGGCACCACTAGGAGTCTGGAGGAATTGCTGCTTGAGGTAGGTGTTTTGGGGTGGAGAGGGGTGTTTTTTCCCTTGTTCTGGAGGAGTTAAGCCATACACTTGAAGAAGGTCAAATTTGTTTGGGCTTTTCTCTTGCAGTAGGTCCACAGCTGACCCCTCCTTCAAATGGTGCTCCTCCTGTCCCTCCATCTCTAACATTACTTCCTCCTCTCCCTTCAGGGTGGCTGTCTACTTTGGGAAATACAAGTTCTGCCTTCTTTTGTATTTATCTCCAACTTCCAAGGAGCTGCGAGCTTCCCTGCCAAGTGCCATTCACTACACATTTATTGAAGGCCTGCCATGTGCCTGGTGAGACTCGGGACATGGGTAACATTAGTGACCAAACGCAGGAGGTCCTGTCCTCCAGGACCTCACAGTCTAGCAAGCAGGGAAGGCAAGAAAAAACTCAGGGAATTAACAGAACCCCTGGGGGAAGAGGGAGAACTTGGGGATGGGGGCTCCTGCTGGGCTCCGCCTCCTGACCATGAGCGTTCTAGGGCAGGGATCAGGTTCCCAGCTAGCCTATTTTCCACACCTCAGAGAGCATGTGCTTCATAAATAAGTAACCACACCTGAATTACTATGCAAATAAGCTCAGTTCTGCTCTCTGAATAGCCAGGTTCACTTTTCCACCAGTCTTTTCTCTCCAGCTTCCACCCTCTGTGCTATCTGGACTCTACGGCACTCATTTATCATGGTCTGTCATTACTGAATGAGACAACAGGCCTGAAAGACAAAGGACAATTTGAATGGCCTTTATCCGGTCTCCCTCAGCCTGAGTTCCTTTCTAGGGCCAGTGTTTTACCCTGACCCAATCTCCTGCAAAAAACACCGCGAGGCAACTGCGAGGGAAAGGAGCGGCAGCGAGAGCTAAATCCTTCTAGATTAGGAAAACGGAGGGAGGCCGGAGGGAAGAGCCAGCGGGAATCCGCTCGCGCCGCAGTGAACTCGCCTGCGCATCTCACTCGGGCTCGGCGCTGGGCGCTGGTCCCGCTTCACCGTCGCTTCCCTCACAGCCCCCGGCAAAGTACGGCTGCTGGGAACTTGGGGATTTCAGGTCCGACGGATTTCCAAAATGTTCTGGGGGTTCTAAACCTTCACCCCCCAAACCCTTCGGACTAGGCCGTGAGCAATCCTGCATCTTGCATTTATCTGGGAGAGGAGGTTCCAGGGGTTCATGCGGGTGAGGCCGGAAGCGAAGACTAAATAGGAACTCTGCCCTCCGTTTTTGTTCCCATTTCCTTCTGTGAAAACCCTTCAAATCCCAAAGTCACTGAATGTCAGAGTGAGGAGAGATGGTGGGGGTCGCTCGGACCCACGGCCCCTCCTCAGTTGAGAGAGTTCCTGGAGAACACAGGCCGTGATCGAAGCCCCACGAGCCAGGGGCTGAGCTGACCCCGGGGCTCCAGGCCCGTGTTCTGGCGGCCGCGTGGCTGCCCGGGGAATTCCTGCACCACGCATGGGCAGAGGGGGAATATGGCCACCCGGGGAATAATGGAGAAACTCGGAAGAGTAGGAAATCAGCTGATATTTAGTTGGCCATCCAGGCTGGCTGTCACGAGGTTAAATTGGAAGCAGGTGAATCTGCCTGATGTGAGGGGAGGGAGGGATGTGAGGAAGAGGAGGGAGGGAGGGAGGGATGTGAGGAAGAGGAGGGAGGGAGGGAGGGATGTGAGGAAGAGGAGGGAGGGAGGGAGGGATGTGAGGAAGAGGCAGGGAGGGATGTGAGGAAGAGGCAGGGAGGGATGTGAGGAAGAGGCAGGGAGGGATGTGAGGAAGAGGCAGGGAGGGAGGAGAATGCATCTCAGAACAAACAGAATCTGTGACTGCACTTACTCCATGCTCTAGCAAGGGTTGGCTCAGAATGAGGTAAGGGAAACGCATCCCTGCAAAAGGGAAAATGCTTCCAGAATAAATAAAGCTCACGGCAAGTCTCAGATATGAGTACAAGACAGGGAAAGCTGCTTGCAGGGAATGCAATGATCCGCTCCCCCCCCCCCATTCCCTTTCCTGAATGAAGGATGTATTCCCCCCTCACACACACACATGTGGAGTGCTGCTGGAAGAAGACTCTTGGCTGTCAGCCCTCTTTGGGAGTGCTGGGGCTAAAGGAAGCTGCCCCACCCAAGGTCGTGTCTTCTTCCAGGGGCAGCCCCCATCCAGTGACCCATCCACGGAAGTACAGAGGCCTGGCCCTCTAGCCCCAACTGGGGACAGTTTCCCAGCTTCAGAGCTTTCCAGGTCAGCTGACTTCTTTGTTGGCGTTGCTTCAGGCCTTAACTCCTCCCCCTGCCCATCCTACTTTCTTCCCTCCCTTCCACAGCGCCTTACAGAGAGCATACTCCCTCCTGAACAGCCTGCACAGAGATCCCCCCATCTTAGTCAGCTTCTGGGGGAACCCAAATGGCAACACTGCTGATTAAGCAAACATATGGAGCCCCACTGAAGGCAGAGAGAAAACCTCCATCCATTGAATCTGGTCAAGTAACGCGTCCCTGTGAAAGAATGTTGCCCACATCCTGATTCAGAGAACGAAGTCGAGGCTCTGTCTAGGTTACAGGTTGCCACCTCACTGCCAACTACAACATGTGTATTGAGCTGTTCAGGGGCCAGAGCAGTGAGACGGAAATGGCCATTCCTTCCCTAGTAGGACCACACCCTCTCTGAGCCAGTCAGCCAGAAACAAGTCCAGGCAATTCTTAAAGCCCTTTAAAGAAGATTCCCAAACCACCCCTGGTGCTGGCACCCCTTGTTAAGTTGATAACCCTTCACTATCAGAAGTGTTCTCCTGAAAGAAATCTAAATTCCTCACACCCTGTATTAATTTCTTTTTGTTATCTTAGGCAGAGGTAGAAAACATTTATAAGCTGTTCTGTTTAGGGACCCTTTATGATTCCTCTCCAATCTTTTCATCAAGGTGAATGATTCCATTTCCACTAATTTTTCCACAAAAGGTACTGCTTTCAATCCTATCATCACCTCTGTGGCTTTCTGTGGAGGCCACAAACACCCTCTTTCAAATCTTGGTTTGAATGTTGGTCAATTTCAGGGCCATGCCAATTTCTCACCTACTAGAGTCCATTTGGTCATCCTGTGTGAAATACGGCATTCCAGTACACAAGTCACCATTCACAAGCCGGCAAGGGCACTCTTCCCCAGTTACCACTCTTCAAAGCAGTTATTCCCACAGCCTGGAGATCCTAACAGGGCTTCTCACCGAAGAAGTAGGAAGGCATCAAGAGGTAGGAAGAAGAAGGTTAAACCTGAGGCCACATGGTTCCCAGGAACAGAGAAGCCACTGTGCCCCAGACAAGAGGAGGGAAGAGGGACTCCACATAACTTAGCCAGAGGCAGGTAGCTCATGTTTGGGAGTAATGAGCTTCTGCCTATGTGAGGAATCTAAGCGCATTAGTTACATTTTTCTTGCCAAGAATCCTTGAGATATTTAGATTTCTGAGTTATGAATTGAAAGTGAGATCAGCCCTTTTTTGTTTGTTTCCCTGTGCTTACTTCAGGATGTTTTCCAGATCTGCATGGTAAATAACAATTTACAAAGGACTACATGCACTTATCTTGCTATATCTTTGATCCTCTTCGCAGGAAAACCACCCAGTAATTATTATGTTTTAACTGTGGATCGGTAGAATTTCTATACTCATTAGGAAAACTCACACTCCTTTAGGAGGAGTGATTTTCAACCATTGTCGAGACCTGTAGACATTTCTGCTAATCATGACTGGTTGCAGGGGAGCGGGGAACGCTACCGACATCTAGTGGATAGAGGCCAGAATGCCGCTAACTATCCTAGAGCGCACAGGACAGCCTCACACAACAAAGAATTATTTGGTCCAAAATGTTGATAGTGCTGAGATTGAGAAACCCTGACTTACAAATAACTCCAAGTCCTCCTAAATGTACTCACCTCTTCAGAAAGCTTCAGGCATTGTTCTTTCTCCTCCTCTGGCCTGGAGAAATTACAAGTTGCTTGACCAACAAGCTCAAAGGCTTTCCTTTTTTTTTTCTTTCTTTTTTCTTGTTTTTCTTCATGGAGTCAGAGCTAAGGAATAAAGACAAGTAAAACCCCAACTGCAAAGTGAAAACAAGCTTCATCTTAGCCCACGGACTCCCTTCAAAAGCTATGTGTTATGTGGACATCTGAACAGACAGGCCAAGTCAGAAAATAACAAGGAGTTCTCACCAAAAACCGTAAAATACCTAGGAATAAAACCAAAGAGGTAAAAGATCTGTACTCTGAAAACTATAAAACACTGATGAAAGAAATTGAAATTGACACAAAGAAATGGAAAAACATTCCATGCTCATGGATCGGAAGAACAAATATTGTTTAAATATCTATATTACCCAAACCAATCTACACATTTAATTCAATCCCTATCAAAATACCAACAGCAGTTTTCATACAACTAGAACAAACAATCCTAAAATTTATATGGAACCACAAAGGACCCTGAATAGCCAAAGCAACATTGAAAAAGAAAAGCAAAGCTGGAGGCATCACAAATGCAGACTTCAGAATTATGATCAAAACAGTATGGTACTGGAACAAAAATAGACACATAGATCAATAGAACAGGATGGAAAACCCAGAAAAGAACCCCCAACTATATGGTCAACTAATCTTCGACAAAGCAGGAAAGAATGTCCAATGGAAAAAAGACAGTCTCTTCAACAAATGGTGTTGGGAAAACTGGACAGCAACATGCAGAAGAATGAAACTGGACCACTGTCTTATACCACACACAAAAATAAATTCAAAATGGATGAAAAGGCCTAAATGTGAGAAAGGAAACCATCAAGATCCTAAAGAACACAGGCAGCAACTTCTTTGACATCAGCCATAACAACTTCTTACTAGATATGTCTCCTGAGGCAACGGAAACAAAAGCAAAAATCAACTATTGGGACATCATCAAAATAAAAAGCTTTTGCACAGCGAAGGAAACAATCAACAAAACTAAAAGGCAACCTACAGAATGGGAGAAGATTTTTGCAAATGACATATCTGATAAAGGGTTAATATCCAAAATCTATAAAGAACTTATCAAACTCAATACCCAAAAAACAAATAATCCAGTTAAAAAATGGGCAGAAGACAAGAATAAGCATTTTTCCAAGGAATACATCTAGATGGCCAACAGATATATGAAAAGATACTCAAAATCACTCATCATCAGGGAAATACAAATCAAAACTACAATGAGATATCACTTCACACCTGTCAGAATGGCTAAAATCAAAAGCACAAGAAACAACAGGTGTTGGCAAGGATGTGGAGAAAGGGGAACCCTCTTGCACTGCTGGTGAGAATGGAAACTGGTGTGGCCACTCAGGAAAACAGCACGGAGGTTCCTCAAAAAGTCAAAAATAGAACTACCCTACAACTCAGCAATTGCACTCCTAGGTATTTATCCAAGGGATACAAACATAGTGATTCGAAGGGGCACATGCACCCCGACCCCGATGTTTATAGCAACATTATCGACAAGAGCCAAATTATGGAAAAAGCCCAAATATCCATCAATTGATGTATGGATAAAGAAGATGTGGTGTATATGTACAACGGAATATTACTCAGCCATAAAAAGAATGAAATCTTGCCATTTGTAGTGACATGAATGGAGAGTATAATTCTAAGCAAAATAAGTCAGAGAAAGACAAATACCATATGACTTCACTCATATGTGGAATTTGAGAAACAAAAAATGAACATGGTGGGGGGAAGAGAGAGGAAAACCAAGAAACAGACTCTTCAGAATAAACTGATGGTTACCAGAAGGCAGGTGTGTGGGGGATGGGTGGGGGATGGGTTAAATAGGTGATGGGTTTTAAGGACAGCACTTGTGATGAGTACTGGGTCCCTAATATAAGGGATGAATCACTATATTGTACACCTAAAAATTATATTACACTGTATGTTAACTAACTAGAATTTAAATAAAAACTTAATAAAAAATAACAAAGAATTCTCAGAATTACATCCTAGGTCAGGTCTTATTCTGAGGCACAAAGAGATGCCTCTTGCTCTCAACTGTGTAATAATTTCATCTCCTACACTTTGAGTCAAGGATTGAACACCATGTAAGCAAAATAACCAGGTACGCTCTTCAACTGGTTTTGAAACCATCCCAGTGATTTTAAGAAAACAGACTTCCCACAATTTGGCTGTAAATTGATCAGCCTGGGCTATTTTTGTGTAGACATTTCTTTTCTTTTCTTTTTTTTTTTTTAATATTTTATTTATTTATTTGACAGGGAGAGACACAGCGAGAGAGGGAACACAAGCAGGGGGAGTGGGAGAGGGAGAAACAGGCCTCCCGCCGAGCAGGGAGCCTGATGCGGGGCTCAATCCCAGGGCCCTGAGATCATGACCTGAGCCGAAGGCAGATGCTCAACGACTGAGCCACCCAGGTGCCCCTGTGTAGACATTTCTTAACTTTTCTGAATAATAGACTGAATGAGTGTGTCAAAATTTTTTGAAGTTAAAATATGATATAAGCAACAGCTTTGCAGCCAACCTATGCTTTAACCTAGAGTAGCACAAACAGAAAAGTCAGCTAAGTCACGAGGGCCCACTCAAGCATGTAACAGTGTGGGATCACTGCATAACAGGCAGGATCCTACTACAATATGGCCTTTGAAATGTCTTGAAAAGAAATCCTATGTCTAGAAAACAAAGCCCTCATTTCCAGGCCCCAACTCACCCCACTCATCCCACCCTTATCCCTGCTTCAACTGAATGAAAAGCTCAAAAAAAGAAAAGTGCTAGAATTTTAAAACATTTTAATATAGAGTAACTATTTTTTCCTTAAAGGACCATCTTCCTAAGAATGCAAGAACCAAGAATGGTTCTCAAGAATTCTGGGAAGGGTGAGGAGCACCAGGAATCTGTCTTTCCATCTCAACCACAATTGCTTTGGCAGAATCTGTCTGACAGCCTAAGTATTTGGGGACTCTAGAGTCTACTGAAGGCTTGTAACTTCCAGGGGAAGGCTTGGACAGTAAACTGTAACCACAGTAAACTGTGGTTAATTCAGGTCAATTTCAGCCATTACAGGAGCAACTCCCCCTCCCAAACCCCAGCCCCATAGCAGGCAGCTGTGCACCTGTTCCTGGATCAGCGTGCAGAGATTGCAGGAGCCTGGGTGGGTAAAAAAGGACCCTGTCTTCCAAATATAGGGTATGTGTGCTCTGATCACTGATTGCTGCTTCTGATCTCAGAGATGCCAGCAAAGAGGAAGTTGGCTGTTGTTTTTGCACCTCTCTCCATTGTTGCAAGTTTCTCCCCCTTCCAGCTGAAGTGACTTCCAGGGGATTTAAAAGGCCAGTGTTCTGTTTTTCCCTCCTTCCATTTTTCTGGTTTTCCCTTTTTGGTAACTGGACACGAAAGAATAGAACATTCAAAAGCAACTCCATATACAGGGAAAATTAGAAAGTCATCATGCACACCCAGGGAAAGGTGCAGGCTCAGAAAAGACTTAGGAAGACCTTAAGTTTACACCTCAGGCAGATCCTTGGCACAGAGACAGCCTACAACAGTCAAAAACCCAAAAACAATAAACAAAAACTAGAAAACCCTAAGGAAGGGAGAGAATCTGATTTCCAGAGTTACCACATCAATAGATTCAAATATCCAGTTTTCATCAAAAAAGTTACAAAGCATATAAAGAAATAGCAGTGTGTGGCCCATTCAAAGAAACAAATCAACAGAAATGCCCCTGTAAAATAACTGATAACAGATCTACTAGACAAGGACTTTAAAATCACTGTCTTAAAGACACTCAATGAATTAAGAAAGACATGAAGAAAGTCAATGATGTCTGAACAAAATATAAATAAATAAAGAGATAGAAAAACTAAAAAGAAACCAAAAAGAAATTCTGGAACTGATAAGTGAATAACTGGAATGAAAAATTCCCTAGAGGGATTCAGGTTTCAGCAGAAGAAAGAACTGGCAAACTTGAAAATAGGACAATAGAAATTATCAAGTCTGAGGAACAGAAAGGGGTAAAAAATGAAGAAAAGTGAACAGAACCTAAGGGACCTGTGGAACACCACCAAGTGGACCAATGTATGCATCGGGGAAGTCCCAGAAGAAGAAGAGATAGAGAAAGAAGCCTAGAGAATATTTGAAGAAATAATGGCTGAAAACTTCCCAAATGTGATGAAAGACATGCAATAAACATCTAAGAAGATCAAGGAACTCCAAGTAAGATGAACTCAAAGAGACCCACATTGAAACATTTAATCAGACTTTCAAAAAACAAAAACAAAGAAAGAGTCTTGAAAGCCACAAGAGAAAACAGACATCATACACAAGGTCTTCAATAAGATTATCAGCAAATTTTTCATCAGAAATTTTGGAGGCCAGAAGGCAGTGCTATTTAAAGTGCTAAAAGAAAACTGTCAATCTAGCAAAACTGTCCTTCAAGAATGAGGGAGAAATTAAGATTTTCCCAGATAAACAAAAGCTGAGGGAGTTCATTACCACTAAACCTACCTTGAAAGAAATGCTCAAGAGGCTACTGCAGGGTAAAATAAAAGAACACTAGACAGTAACTTGAAGCCATATGACAAAATCAAGATCTCAATAAAGGTAAATACATAGGCAATTAGAAGAGCTATTATTACTGTAAGAATGGTTTGTAACTCTACCTTTTGTTATCTGCATGACTTAAGAGAAAAATACATTTTTAAAAAATTATTAGCCTAAAAGCTAATATTATTGTAACTTTGGTTATAACTCTAATTTTGTTTTCTACCTACTTTAAGAGACTAATGCATTTACAAGAATTAGTTTATGGTTTCGGGCACACAGCGTTCAAAAATGTAATTTTGTGACATCAACTACATGGGGGTGGGGACAGAGCTGTTATAGGAGCAGAGTTTTGTCTTTTTTTTTAATTTAGTAAAATACACATAACAAAATTTACCATCTTAACCATCTTTAAGTGTCCAGTTCAGTGGTATTAAATATATTCATAATGTGCTACCATTACCACCATCCATCCCCATAACTCTTTCCTCCTGTAAAACTGAAACTCTGTACCCGTTAAACAATAACTCCTCCCCTTAGTCCCTGGAAACTACCATTACACTTTGTTTTTATGATTTTTTTTCTTTTAAGAAAAAAAGATCTGTACCCAACATGGGGCTCAAACTCAACCCTGAGATCAAGTCATATACTCCACTGACTGAGTCAGCCAGGCACCCCGTTTTTATGATTTTTTACTAAGTACCTCATATAAATGGAATCATATAATACTTATCTTCTTGTGACTGTGATGTTATGTTCAGGAACTGATCAATATAAGTCCTCACCCCAGAGAAGCTGGGCAAAAATAAAATAGCATGCAGACTTTACAAGCAGACTGGTTGCTCTCTGGACTGGTGAAGGCTTGCAATTCAAAACTCACGATTGCTAACCCATAAATGCCTAGATCTTTAAGCAACTTGGCAGAGATCTTTGATAATTCAGTCCCATTGGTGGGAGCTGCTTCCAAAATGTACCTTCTCACATTGATTCTGTGCTTTCAAACTGTGAGCATATGTGTATGGTAAGGAAGTGGATGAGACATGTTGATCTGTGTATAACCAGGGAGTTCAAGGCTGACATGCACATCATGTTAAGCACAAATCCAGCTAAAGCCAGCCCTGCATGATCTAATGCAAGAAAACAAGATAACAGGATATAACCCATGCAACTGTTCCTTAGATGAAAAAGGTAGATCCTCCTCAGTGGCTTTAACACATCGATCCACTTGGGAACTTGACGGGAAAGTACAAACTCAACAAAGGACTGAAGACATTTAGTGGTAATTATTCCTGTAGGCAGTTTGAAAATACATGATAATGGCAGCTCCCCACAGCCATAATGGAATTTCTACTAAATAGAAACAAGATCAATTTAGGAAAATCCTCAAAATGTATCTTAATAACCTCTTTTTAAAAACTGTAATACTGCTTTTTTACTATCCTATGGCAATACAACTGAGGAAGGATACTGACAAACTAATTAGCATGAGAGAAAGGGGCATTAAAATTACTTAAAGAGCATTTATCTTTCCGTCCTTTTACATGCAAATTGCATCTGTGCTACTTTCCAAGTTCCACTGCATTAGAAATTGAAATGGCCTCCATTTTAGACCAGCACTACATATAATAGCTCTAACTTTTAGATTAAAGAACCCGGCCTTCTATTACTAGGGCATCAGTAAATTGGGCATTCTGCAGCAGCTTTTCCTAAGAAAACATGGTGGCTCTTTACTTCCTTTATCCACTCAAAAAGCTTCATTTAAAATTAATGGAAACAATTGGGTGCCTGGATGTTTTAGTTGGTTAAGCATCCAACTCTTGATTTAGGCTCAGGTCATGTTCTCAGGATTGTGAGATCTAGCCCTGCATGGGGCTGACTCTGCGCTCAGTGGGGAGTCTGCTTGAGATTCTCTCTCTCCCTCTCCTTCTGCCTCACTCGCTCTCAAATAAATAAATAAATCTTTAACAAATTTTTTTAATAAAAAAATTTTTTAATAATAAAATTAATGGAAACAAGAAATTCAATTTGGCCTCCTGAGTTTAGGAAAGATTTCAAATTGGAGGCCTACAGGTCAAGTTTAATCTGTAGATGTGTTTTGTTCAGCGTACATAGTACTCTGACAATCAGGACTGCTCACATCAAATCAACATTTCTAGCTTCTGATAGGGTAATTCTGAGTCCATAATCCTGCATGACAAAAAGTGACTGGAACTAACTATAGTTGTCTCTTTTGAAAAGTCCCCAGATGCCCCTACCCCTGATTCTCAAACACCTCACTAATTTTTTTTTTAAGATTTTATTTATTTATTTGAGAGAGAGAGCATGAGCAGAGGGAGCAGCAGAGAGAGAGGGACAAGCAGGCTCCCCACTGAGCAGGGAGCCCAATGCAGGATTTGATCCCAGGACTCTGAAATCATGACCTGAGCAAAAGGCAAACGCCTAAACAACTGAGCCACCCAGCTGCCCCTAAACACCTCACTAATTTACAGTAGTACCAGCTTCTATAGATAACTTGAGTGACCTTCAGTTTGGAGTTTAAGAAAAGAACATCAAGGAGAGATTGACACAGATTCCAAGACATGTAGGCTACCTGTAGATAACTGACAATAAAAAAGAAACAAAAGGAGATTGCTACATAAATAATAGTACCTTTATTCGGTATCTTTCAAGAATACAACAAATTATAACCACTAGCAAATTGGCAACTTTATATGTTCAGTAGTGCTACGCTGGTCCAACTTTGTTAAAATGCTGTTTTTTTTCCACCTGAAACTAAGATTACACTGTATGTTAACTAACTGGAATTTAAATAAAAACTTGAAGAAAAAAAATGTTTGATTTTTTTCAGAGAAGGAATGGAAGAAAATTCCATGAAATGGAGAAAGTTAAAAAAAAATAACCAATGAGGCCTGACTTTGATTTTTAACTTAACTTATGCTTTAGCAGTCTAACAGAATTGAAGGCAACTAAAAAGTAACATTTTCATGTGTTAAGTTTTAAAAAGTGATTGAATATAATGGTTATTTCTTAACTAACCCAGGATTTAGAAAAAGTCCTAAATGTTAAGAAAACTTTTCATTAGATTAAATTTTTGTTTCAGAAAACCTCTAAACCTTTCCAAATAGATGAAATTAATGGAAATTCATTTTGATAAATGATAAACGTGTAAGTCCAAGTAAATCTTTCTGACGTCAGTCTGGAAGAAACATTTTTCCTCTCTTTCACTGGCATGGTAGAAAGAACACCTAATCAGAAATTTAGTTTATCATGACCTCTGCTATGTGATCTCAGCCATGGGAATGAATAGGTAGAGCACGGAGGATTTTTAGGACAGTGAAACTACTCTGATACCGTAATAGTGGATACTTGTCATTATAAATTTGTCCAAACCCATAGAATGTACAAGACCAGGATTTATAAGATAAGCCAAGCAACCCTAATATAAGCATGGACAGATAGCTCAATAAAGGTATGTCAACATATCAAATACTCCAAAGAAGGATAATTACATAAATACAAATGGATAGATATGTGGGATTTAGTAAGTATAAGCCAAGTAGAGGAATATGTATTTCTGGGACTTACATAGAAATAAGTTATCTTCTACGAAATTCCTCCATTATGTTATATACTTATATTACACACATATATCACTAATCCTCATGATAAACCTTTAGAGGAAGTATTACTGCCCACATTTTGCAAAGAGGAAGAGGTAAGACCAGAATTTGAATACAAGGCTGTCTGATTCCAAGTTCATATTCTGTCTGCTATAAAGTAAAAAATAGACACTCAACTTAAATTTAGTAGGGGAAAAGGTGACTTTTTACTCTGACTCCATCTAATAGCAGCTCATTGTTACCATGTTCCGTGATCAAGGCTGACATTCAGCTGGTATGGCATAAGGGCTGAAAGTTATGATTATCTGTTCTATTTGACGGGGGGGTGCCCGTGACATATTGATCACTAAATATTTTGAATATCCTACCTGACCATGACACAGAACTCTGAGTATTCCATCACATACTTATTCAGACATTTGAAATCATCCAAAACCACTTCTCATGACATATTTTCCATACCTACAGGCATCTCAGGTCTACTTCATGCAAAACTTGGCTGGTCTTCTCTCTAGGTAAGAACATGCTAAGATTCCTAACTTTCAGAGTAGAAGCCTAGCATTTGCCATTTACATATACCAAAGCAAGGGACACATCTTTAAATCAGTAGTATGAAATTACTAACTGTAGGATTTCACCAGTGAGTCCAACCTTGAAATTACATCCTGCCTTTCTTGTTAAAAATCAGTCTCAAAGCATTCGTTATCTGGGAAATTAGTCTGATAGGATACTGTTTACAACCTTCCTCAGTTCTTGCTATAAAACTAGATCCCCAGAAAGGAATATATCTAGACATTAGCTTATGCCCTTAGATAGAAGTGCCTAAACTGAGTTTTATACAAAGTTATATTCTTGGATTTTATCAAGATTCAATATCAGAAATGACCATATGGAAAAAAGAAAGCAACAGTATAAATGTTTCAAGGACAAATCATCATAACAAAAACAGCATGATTTATTTCTGAGAGCTTCATACTTTAGATTTATTTATAAGTTAGTTATGCCAAAACCAGCTTGCCCAACCAATACACATAAAATGTTATATAAGCTCCCTCAACTGGTTAAGACCTAGAACTACCAAAAAACATGTTCCATTAAGTTGACTGTATCATCCTTTTCAGAAATTTCTGTTACTCCAGCCTGAGATCGAAGAATGGACATGATGTCGTGAGATAATTTGTCAAAGCCATTCTGTAAACATATATTTGCCATTTCTTGCCAGTTTTCTAATGAGGAAAATGGATCATTTATCATAAGATGTTCAACTATACCTGAGGAAAAAAATTATAATATTATAGTATGGCACTTATTCTTATTTGAAAACTCATACTTAGCAATTCTTCCAAAATAGAAAGGGATATCATTTCAACTACTAAAGTTACTATTAAACTTGATCCATATAAGTTTAATCTGGAGTGTTTCAGCCAGTTCATGGTAAGTAATCAAGTGTTAGTTTCTTCATCTCTTTCATTAACCTTTTCATGTCTCACTTCAACCCTCTACTATCTCTCACATTCCCACACTTCTACTCATCTCCCATCTCCTTCTTGGTTGAAGGCTACACGGAAGGGGTCTCAAAAAATGAAGAATGAGGGCTCAGCCTTATTCAGAGTCTCTAAGGTACCACTAGACACTATCACATAACTGGGGGCCTACAGGTCTAGTTTTCATGATCCTTCAAATTCTTTTATAAATTCCCTAGTAGTGCTGATCCAAGGGCTTGAAAACCTCTTTGGCAAACCCTTCCTATCTCTGGATAGACAGAGACCTCTTAATGATGGGACTTCTATAATAAATATTTTTCTAAAGGAAATAAAAGAATGATTTTATTAAAGAAAACTCATGATATTACTTACTTTTGAAAATCAATTATGGTGACCCTCTTTGGAACATATTTATTTAGGGAACTCATTTCTTATCTATTATCTGCATTACTGATGATACTTAATGAAAGAGGATCTCTTTTTAAAATATTGTCAGCACTGTTATTTTATTTCTACCATGATTATTTTTCTGTCAAATAAAATATTTTATTTGATATCTGTAATGATAATTTCAAAATTATCTTCCCAAATATGTTTTCATGTAATTTGCTATTCATTCTTTAACCCCATATAACAATTTAAAATCAAGCTATCTGCTCAAGTTCCTATATTAAATTAGAGAAAGGAAAGAAAAAAGTGAGATGTAATTAGTTATTCTTGATCCCACTCCAGAGTTACATTCAGAATAAACATCATATGGAAGTGACATTTACCTATGTATTTGGTTTAAGAATAAAAATATAGAGAGATTATGTCTAAATAACATTTTAAATATATATAAAATTACTAAATATACACATTTGTTAAAATACGTACAGTTTTTATAGTGTTCACCAGTATAATTATTAAGATGTTCCCCTAAAGCTACATAAAGATTCTCTCTTTTTTGTAATTCCCTCAAGAAATACATACTATTGTCGACAGACTATTATTGACATGGTAATCTTTACATTTATAAACTCCCAAAATCAATTCCTGCCAAGAAGGAACTCTTAGGAAAAATTAGTTAACTCAGACATAATAATCTTGAACCTTTCCCTAAATAACCCACTACTTTCCTTCTATAACATTTTACTATACTTACCTTTCCCACCTTTACTTATTTCTTGAAGTAGCTTAATGCCAACTTTTTTCATATCTACAGAAAACAGATGAAGTATAGCAAGGCCAAAAGATAAAGATGGTGGTTTCCCGTTCCATTCTCTAGTGAGACACTGAATTAATTCAGTGTGAGGACATAACTTTATTAACTGCATCAGGTCATCTGAAAGCAAAAAATAAAAAAACTATGTCTCAACATCCTAATATGATACATCAACTACAAACTGGGACCAGCTAATGTCTACACCTGCCAATCAACACTTCTTCTTCCAATCCTTCCAAAGTCCTCAATGAACTCAACAGTACTCTCTCCGATCAGGGAAAAAAAAAAAAAAAAAAAAAAATCAATGCTCAGCATAGCAAAAAAATGAAAGAAAACTACTTATAACACACACTACCTGAAAAACAAATTATCAAAGAACTGTGGTAGAATAGAAAGGACTAGACTGGCAATTAGGAAACCTGAGCTCTAATCACAGTTCCATCAATCACTTATTCTTTTGGATCTCAGTTTATGCACCTTAAAAGTGCTAGAATTGGTAGCTCCAATTTCTAAATTTCCATCTAATACTACATTATGTTTGTCTACATCTTGTTGCTCATATTTGGACCAGTTCCTAGTAAGTATAATTTCTTTCTTTCTGTGTCTTGCAGAGAAAAAGGGTCTCAGTAATTTTTTTCCCTAAAAATATCAAGTATTTAGAAACTCAAAAATGAAGACTTTAAGAAGCTGTCAGCCAGTTCAAGTAGCTAGAGGTGGAGCCATATGAAGTTGCCTGTATTTGACCATTTTTGACTCCAAAAAAAGCAAATTCATATGGTTTAATACACTAGCTAACTATTGAGTTCATCTAGTACTGCAATCATGATTCACATTCTTAAATTTATAAACTTAGTGTTAACTTACTAAAGTTTTTCAAGTAAAAATATTCTTCTTGGGTCAAAACAGAGGTAGTTTTCAGAATAATTTCTGAGAGCCTTTCAAGAACTATCATAAATGTAATTCGCACTCTTGACAGGCACAAATTTCTGTACTGGGAACTTAAATCTATTAAATCACTGCATTTAATATTTAATATAAGTGAGATATTATTATTATTATTATTTTTAAAGATTTTATTTATTTTTTAGAGAGCGAGTGAGAGAGAAACAGCATGAGAGGGGAGAGGGTCAGAGGGAGAAGCAGGCTCCCCGCTGAGCCGGGAGCCCGATGTGGGACTCGATCCCAGGACTCTGGGATCATGACCTGAGCCGAAGGCAGACGCTTAACCATCTGAGCCACCCAGGCGCCCTATAAGTGAGATATTATTATTCTCATATTGAAAGTGAGGAAACAGGCTTAGAGAAGTTAATTTTCCCAAAATTATACACATAATATAAAGTAGAACAGTTCATCTGACCCCCGCCCTGAGTCTATGACCTTCCAATCTATAGTAATGCTCCTCCAAAATAATAAATAAATGTGTGTGCATTGTATATATGTATGTATTGTATGTATACACACAGGCATGCACACACACACATAAACATATAGAGAGAAATGGTAAAAGAAGAAACAAGGAATAACAAAATATAATTCTGTATCAATAAAGTCAAACAATTTTTTAAAAATTTCCCTAGAGAACAGGTAGAAGTTTATGATTTGGGCCACTTAAATTGGCCTCCACTAAGGTGAAGCTATTTTTATAGCACCCCCAGCCTCCAACATTTCATAACTCACACATCTTACTCTGCTTCATTCAATCAGGTATTCAAATCGCCTTCTCCCTGAATTGATTAATTAACCAATATTTACTCAAATATGTACAAGATATGGTCTCTGACTGATTAGAAAGAATACAAATTCAACTCTCATGACCTTTCCCCTCTGCTTACCACACTTTGGAATCCATTTCGTTATTCCTTGGTTTGACATATTATTAATCATTTTTTTTATCTCATGGATATTCTGTTTTAATAAGATTATAAAGGCCTATATACCAAGTATGATACCTGTTTAACACAAATATCCAGAACACTGGTTCTCAAAATATGGTCTAGGGTCTACAAAGTCAAAACTATTTTCATAAAACATTTTTTATTGTTATTTGTTATTGTTATTTTAAATGAATAAATATTTTTAAATTTTCTGCTTTAATGTCTAATAGGATAAATATCAATAGACATAACCCATGTAAGTAAAAGCTCTTTGGGATGTTCAGTGCTTTTTAAAAGTGTAAAAGAGACCTGAGACCACAATGTTTGAAAGCCTCACATCCAGAATAACCCAATTTCCAGATAGGTATATTCACTTGTTTAATGATAATGGGAAGGTGAACAAACAAAACAAATCATTTCAGGCTTTATTCTAAAAATTATTAGGGGGAAAAATAATTTTTACTTTTATTTATTTTTAAAGACTTTATTTATTTATTTATTTGAGAGAGAATGACACAGCGAGAGAGGGAACACAAGCAGGGGGAGTGGGAGAGGGAGAAGCAGGCTTCCTGCGGAGCAGGGAGCCCGATGTGGGGCTCGATCCCAGGACCCCGGGATCATGACCTGAGCTGAAGGCAGACGCTTAATGACTGAGCCACCCACCCCAGGCGCCCCTAATTTTTACTTTTAAAACAGATGCTTTTTTAGTCACACTTATGCTTTTGGAACAAATTTCTTAGAACTTTTCTATTTTTGTTTGGTTTTGGTTTGGGTTTTTTAATTTGTAAGTGTATAACTGATAGTCTAAATCTAAGAGAGAACGTTTTTTCCTGAAACCAGAAAGTATTAACAAAATGAATCTGTCCCCCAGTGCCAATATGATACCATGGAAAGCTGTGGTTGTTTCTCATTAAAAAGTAAAATAAGGAAAGTAATTTTCAAACACTGTTTCCATTTTGTAAGCTTAATTTTTCTCGTTATTATTTTCATCTTATGATGTGCTAAATAAATTCTGAGGATAAACATCAAGGTTCTAATTACATAAGAGTGTTACTACTTTGTAAATTATTACAATATATATCTAATTATTTTAGATTATAATGCACTACTAGAAGAACAGAACAATATAATAGTGAGTCAATCATGTTTCTATGCACTTATGCAAGGCAAATTTTGCAAGCAAAACAGAAACTTAACATTTCAGTCAATAAAAATTCTAAGTGTAATTAAACCTATATTCCTTCCATGTCTAAACTGACTAAAATAATCTCTTATCTATGGAAAAATAATACTTAAAACAGAAACTGAATCTGTACACTTAGATAATAAAAATAAAATATATAATTCATTCAACAAATATTGAGTAGTACCAGATTCTGTTCTACTGCTATGTGTGTGTAGGTAAATTACTTATCTCTTTGAGCCTTAGCTTCCCTGTGGAAACACAGTTTTTTTTAATCTATAAAATAGGGATAATAACAAAACCTACTTTATAGTTAACATAAGGATTAAGTAAGCTCATGCATGTAAAAAGCCAAACTATAGTATCAAGTGTGCTGTTATATAACAAAGAAATTAATAACTTTAAAAACTAGATTCTAAGGAAAATTCAAGTTACTGTTTGAAAATGATCAGATTCAACAGCCATCAATGATCCTCTTTCCTGGAAAAATATGCCCTAAAAGTGCTATGTTTTATTCCATTTGCAACTTCTTAGAATTGGGGTACAAAGCCTGCAAATCAGAATTGAGAAACAGGCCTAGGATGTGGGAGATGTCAGGATGCCTATACATTTAGGTTACTGATGAACTAGGCTCAAAATAAGAGATCAGCTCATTCAAGTAAGGTTACCCTAAGGTTGACAGTGCTCTCAGATCATTGCCCAACTGCAACCTAGGTGTTTCAGAGTTTTGAAATGAACATTATTTTACTAATTCTTCATTTCTAATGCTTATATCATAGTCTAGAACATTTATGTAACAAATAAGTTCAGCTATTTAAAAAATAAATCCTTTAAGTAGCATGGTCTAAAATATCTGCAAAATAAACTGTGTACTTCAGAGGGAGACAAGCAGTGACACCCAAATATCCACCTTCTCCAAGGCTGTGAGGCCCTCCACCCCAGGACAGCCCCAGGCTCAGTCCCCAGTGCCTTTGCCAGACATTCAAGACAAACAAGATCTCCTCAGGAACAACTGGCCTTAAGGCAAAGACCACCCTGATAGGGCTGGCCACAGCTACCCAGGACCCTCAATCAGCACCACGGACTTGACGAACTTCACTCTCTTGTTTCACTGTTCCCTCTGTGCAAGCCTTGGCTCATTTCCCTCTCTGGGCCTCAGTATCTCAACTTGTATGATGGGCCTAACAGTGCCTACCTGATGGAACTGTTGTGTGGATTGGCCGGAAGGACATGAGGATACCCTACCCAGAGTCTGGCACAAAGTAGGTACCCAATAAAAGTTAGATAGGTTTTACTAAAAACAAACAGACAAACCTACATATCAGTATATATATAAAAGACTTTATAATGTAAATCCAAAATATTGCCTACTATCATGGGTGATCTTACAATTAAAGTCTAGAATTCAAAAGTATACAATTAAGTAGACTGTCTCACTCACCATAAGTAAAATCCTTGAATTGCTGTATGTATTCCATGGCCCCATGAATCTGACCCTGTTTACATAGGCAAAGAAGAGCTTTCTTATGCAGGCCACAGTCACTGTAGATCATCTGAGCTAAAGCCAGGCACTTGGCCTTGTTGTAAGTATCCTGTTCCCCATAATCACAAATCACATCCCCCAACTCTTCAGAAAATGTGAGCCTAGAGCAAGCAGATCAATAGGTATACTTTAGAGAGTTCTTGATGAGTGGATAAGAATAAAATATTTGAAAATTCAGCACAGTAGAACTGGATTTTCTATGGTCTATAAGAATTCCAAGTTAACAGGCAATTGATGTAGAAGAAATCAAACATATCTAAGATTTAACAACAACAAGAACAAAAACAATCAGCATGTATTCTTATGGGGGAAGACATTTTAGCAAAACTGAGCTCAAGTTTTTAAAAAATCTACAAACACGGTTAAAACTCTCCTAAAAAGACTGGTGGGATTTAAAATGACAAGGTAAACAAAAATTCTCTTATAATTGGGGATCTCAATGTTCTCAGCAGTTATCTAGATTCTAAACCCTATTGAATATAAGAATTCATTAAATGTTGGTTAACGACAGTGACAACAAATTTTAGCTCAGTATTAGTAACAGATCTTGCAAGTGTTTGCAAGAAATGTGTGACACCAGTGTTATTTTTTTTAAATTGATATAGATATATACAAAACAACAGGGGGGACAAAGGATATAAGATGTCCCTACTAGGAGACACTGAAGAAGTAGTTCTTTTGAGACGGCTCACTTGAATAGGTTTCACTTGTCGTCACATTTTATTTTTTTATTTTTTTACTTGTGATTAAAGATATTACTTCTAATCATTGGTTGTACGGAAATTTTACTTTAGTTATATTTTTAATAGCTACAGAATACCGGTGCCTGTATACATGTAACAAAATGCCAATAACATTAAAATGAAATCCAGAAACCCCTCCAAAATGTGTTTACTGAAAATTCAGGAAATAAAGCCTACCGTGTTTATTGGGGTGGCCAGAGAGAGGTGGGTCTAAAATCAAAAGGCAGCTTCTGATTATAAATCAATTACTTACTAAGGAATTACCTGACTTCTACATTTTAGTACCAAAATACAGGTATGGTAGCTACAGTCACAATGTTTCCTAAGGCTGAACAAGTAATTATTTCAGTCTTTATAGTGACTGTATTCCCAAAGCAAGATGATAATACCAGTATTTTAGTTATTACTTCTCTTATTAATACCATAGTTGTATTTTTTAAGAAGTCACCACCATTATGTTGTTCCACCTGAAAGAAGGCCAGAGCTGAGGACTGAAGTTGCTGTGTCTCTGTTTGTCACTTTCCAAAAGGATGATGAGGAAAGAAGAATATGATAAAAAAGAAAAAATTTTTTAAAATAAATAAAAAATAAAAAAATTATCGAAAGGGAGGAAATGGGTCAAGCCCCAAAAGAATGGAATTGACCCTGAAGGAAAAAAGGGGAAAGACAAACAGGGATTCTAACCCGGGGGGAAAGGGACATAATCAAGCACCCTGCACCTGGCTGGGAAATGAGCCTGGGTACCTCTGCCCACATTCCACCCCCTCCAATCACCTCATCCTACCTTCTTTCTGTTTCCCAAAAGTCTCCTTCTTGGTTCTCCCACCCCTACTTCCAATTCTAAGAAGACTCTTTCAGGGACTTCTGAAAGTGGATCTCCAGCCTGACTCTGGAGAATACAAATGACTAATAAATAAAAGAAAATATGCTTAACTCCACTAGTAAACTAAGGTATATTTGATTATAAACCAGATTGTAGACTTTTAAGTCAAAATAAAGGCAATATATAATCACTAAATCTATGCATATTTACTTACTGTTATTTTGTAGGGTTCAGTTTGTAAAGTTAATATGTCAGAGGATATTTTTCCTCTTCTAGGAGCAGTGTCTGCAATTTAGAGACCTAATGCTAGTAAAGCATCATTTCTTAAGTTTAGGCTTTATGTGTCAAGTGATCAGACTCTTCCTCAGGTAAGAATGACTAAGAGAGCCAAGATTAGTCTATAACCCAGGCTGTTTTAGGGCTGGCTCTGTACAGGGCTTCAGGGAAAGAACTGTAGAACTTTTTAAGGTAGCCATGTGGTAGAGGCCAGGTCATCGGAGTCAGAGACCAGAGGGCAGAGGCTAAGAATAAAGAATGTGAATTACCTTCAGTATTCTGTTAGACCATCTCAGGATCCTTAAAAGTGGTGGTATTGTCCAAATTTATGCAGTCAAGGAATTTCATAAGAATTTAAATTCTTACAACTAAGAGGTAGAATCAGCCAAGAACCATCAGTATATGTAGGGAAATTAATCTTGTCTGAAGTGTCTCTGCATTGATAGCAGGTGTTAATGAACATGCACTTTCTAATGGTGTTCTCACATCTGAACCATTTCCAGGGCTCCCTGACAAGTACATTTTGTGGAGCATGTAGAAGGTGTGACCAGGCAGAAAAAGAAAGAGGCAAAGCAGGGAGAGCAGGGTGTATGTATGAAGAAGTTTCCTAAAACATAATTAACTAATTATGTGAACAATAAGTGAAGCTAACAAGAGGGGTGGGAAAGAGATACTCTGCACTGGTAAACAATAGTGCCATCAATCCAGGACAGTCCGAGACTATCTCTCTGGGACGAGAGCATCGCGCAGGGGAAATGGTGAATTTGGAACGGGCAGCAGTAGGCAGTAGTACGCAAACTGACTACTCTATAATATGTATCCTCTGTCCCTATACATCCTGAGCCAAGAAAGCATAGCCCTTAGGCTGCAAAATAAGCAGGCCATGGCAACAAGACAGATGACGGGCAGGCCTTTCCTCACTCTGCCTTCCAATACTCAGAGCCCAACCTATGTCCACATAGACCCAGCAAGAACAGCTTGATCTTCGTAAGCAGGCACACACTGTTTTAGTCCTCTTTACTGGACCAGTGACTCTTCCCCAGCTGACTGCTAACAGCTCCCAGTTTCTCCTTCCCCAAAGAATTGCCCTCAGCTGACTGGAGCTGCCTCATCCAGAAAATCATGCCTATCTTTCAACACCCAGTAGTATAGAGCAGATGACTGACTAATAAAGAATACAAAAGGCCAGTCCTATAATTCAAAAAGAAACAACTCTGGTACAGTTTACGCTCCGTAGTCCTCTCCCTGTAATGCTAGCTATACCTGAGTTCACATTCCTGCTTGGCAGTTTGCCCTTCTCCATCCCATCTCACTTCTTCCCTTACAATATTTCTCGAGGAGGAGTCTATCAGTAAATGACATGCACTCAGGTGCAACTACCATGCTCTCTTTAAGGGAAAAGGGAAACTGAGTGCCAAACATATTCCTCTCTTCTGTGTTATGTAACAACAACCTTACCTTCTCATGATAATCAAAGTCGACCAGGATTCACAGAACCTCAAGTTGCAGGAGTGGAAAGCACAGACTCCCTGTGATGCTTAATTGAATGTGTCATCCTGACTGGCTCATAGAGCGCCCAGGTATTTAGTCAAATATTATTCTGGGAGTCCATGAGGATGTACTTGAAAGAGAGTGGATCGGTAGACTGAATAAAGCAGATTGTTGTGACTGTGGATGGCTCTCATCTAATCAGTTGAAGGCCTGAATGGTACAAAAAGGCTGCCCTCTTCCAAATAAGGGGGAACTCCTCCTGCTTGACTGCTTAGCTGGGACATCAGTCTTTTCCTACCTTTGGACTCAAACAGAAACATTGGCTTTTCTCGAGTCTTGAGCAGCCTGAAACTCACACCATTGAGGGCTCTCTTGCTTGCTGGTCTCTAGCTTGCTGAGTGCAGATCTTGGGACTTACCAGCCTCCATAATCACATGAGCCAATTTCTTTCTTTATATATATGTATATACATATATACATGTACACACACACACACACAATTTGATATATGGAAATATATATATATTTATATTATATACATTAAAATAATATATTAAATATATTATTGATTCTGTTTCTCTGGAGAAGCCTAATTAATATACTCCCCATGTGGGCTACTAGGAATGATAGCTGAGCAGAGCCACTCTTTTATCTCCCAGACCCAAGTATTCCACCTACTGGGAATACACCATGTAATTGTCACTGGTTTAAAGAGTGCATTTCATCCTGAAGGATGTTACTCCATCTTCAAAGGATGGAGTGACAAGCTGGCATCACCTGGACACAACCAGAACCATCCATGAGCCAAGTTTGGGTTTTTTCTTCCTTGTCTGCTGGTCTTAGGTCACCCCACCCGTGCATGAGGCCATAGGTGTGACATTACTGTGGAAGTAGTGTCAGTCAGTTGGTGGTAGTTTACATGGGGTCTGGGCCACCTATTTCTGAAGCTAACCTGTATTCTCTGGATCTGCTTGAGCATGATCTTGATTGTACCTGATTTTAGATGGACTGTCTGAGCCCACCTGACCTCATGACTTGGTGAGCCTGTCAGAATCCAGTTCATGATAAGCAGGTCTCTAGTTTAACAGTCATTGGTGTTCCCTGGATAGACACTCCAACTTTAACAAGATCCAGTAGGTGTTTTTTAATAGTATATAGTTGTTTGTTACAGGTGGCAGATAATCTACTGGGATAGCTCTTGGTAGTCCCAAGCCAAATGAAAACTGTTAATGGGTATCAGTAATCATGGTTTGATAAAGGCATGGCAATCAGTCATCCTACCAGACAAGCCATCAAGACCAACAGAAGTGTAAGAGTGAGAAGAATATAAAATGGATACAGAAGAAAGATGAATAATAATTAATATGGAAGAATCTCAAAATAACTGTAAGTGACAGAGCCAGACCAAGAAGAAAAAATAATATATAATTCCATTTTTATAAAATTCTAGAAAACGAAACCTCATCTATTATGACAGGAAGTAGATCAGTGGTTACCTGGAGATGGAATGGGTGTTGAATGAGGTTGATTATCTCAGCTGTGGTAATGATTTCATGGGTATATACATATGTTAAAACTTGTCAAACTGTACACTACAAATATGTGTGGTTTATTATATGTCAATTATATCTCCACAATGCTGTTTTCCAAAAATTCATCAAATTGTACATTTGAAATATGTATCGATTATTGTATGTAAATTATATCTCAATAAAGTTGTAAAAAACAAGTAACAGCCTTAGGATTCATTGTCATGACAAGGGCTGTATAGTACATCCCACTAACCCTCCTCTTACAAGATTCCCCCAGAATTATACCCACAAAATCCTGGACTAGATGGAGTGAAATTAAGGTGAGAAGCAAATACATTAGGTGTTGTGCAAATGGTTGACTATAGTAGATGCTGTTTTAATGTCCTGCCCAGATCCTCCTTCCCCAGCTGCTCTGGGTATTGGCTGCCAATGGCTTACAGGTCCCCTTCTTCTACAGCCAATTGCCCTTCGCTGGTGGAAGCCACCATGCCTAGGAAGTTATGCCCCATCCAGGCAGCCCATAGCCCTAATAGAGTCTAACAGAGAGGTACAAAAGGCTGGCCTCTTGCCTCAAGGGGGACAGCTCTGTGGTGTGGTTTATGCTCCAGAGCCTCTATAAATAAGACCAAGGTTAGAACTTGCCTGAGATTACATCCTTTCTTGGCTTCCCAAACACACACACACTCTTCTCTATTCTGCTTCACTCACTCCCGTATATGGTTTTCTTGAGAAGCCCTCCCTCTATCAATCATGTACACTCAAATTCCTGTCTGAGGCTTTGGTTCTAGGGAATCTAACCTAAGGGGGCTCTAGTACAAATCTGCCAATCTGTATTGAAACCTAACTCCAAGAAGCCATCTCCTGTCTATCCTTAATGGTTTGTATGTTCTAAATGTTACCTTGGTCCACATCCATCCTGCTTATAAGTTTTCTCCTAGATTTATTCTTTACATGTACCCATAACTTATCTGGATCCAGGTTCCTGCCTTATCCCTCTGAGTAGCAATGATACTGATTAATCCTTTTCTACCCTTACCAATCAACTTCTATCCACCATTAAGTGGTCATGAATCATCCGTGAACTGCCATTACTCAACTCCTGATCTGGGCTCATTGTGACTAGGCCCCATTACTGCATGAATGCTTAGTAAATCTTTTTAACCAATTAACTGCAATAGAGACTGGAGATAAATGTTCAAATAATGTACTAATAAAAAACTATTGAAATCTTGAGAATAAACAACTTTATTAACCAACTATCAAAATTAAGTTAAAAGCTTTACTTTGCTTACCTTTCCTGGGTGACCCAATTGATAACTAAATCTAAACGTTTTTCAGATAATCCACATTTGATTCCTTCCAGGGTTAGTTCTGCATCAATAGGACGTCTACATGCATGACTTGTGCTAAAGATGGTCTCAAAAAATAAGAGTAATGGAAAAGGCTTGCCTCTAATCTTTCCAACAGCTATAGAGAGAAGAAAAGTTTTTGAGTTGAACACTTTAAGTAAATAATAGTTTCCTTTTTCTTACTTCATATTCTTTTTTTTTTTTTTTAAGTTTTATTTATTTATTTGACAGAGAGAGCTCAAGTACGCAGAGCAGTAGATAGAGGGAGAGGGAGAAGCAGGTTCCCCACTGAGCAGGGTGCCCAATGCGGGGCTCGATCCCAGGACCCTGGGATCATGACCTGAGCTGAAGGCAGAGGCTTAACCAACTGAGCCACCCAGGCGCCCCCATATTATTTTCATCTCTGTATCTTCAAAAATTTCAATCCAGGGGCGCCTGGGTGGCTCAGTCAGTTAAGCGGCTGCCTACGGCTCAGGTCATGATCCCAGGGTCCTGGGATCAAGCCCCATATTGGGCTCCCTGTTCAGCGGAGAGCCTGCTTCTCCCTCTCCCTCTGCCTGCCACTCTGCTTACTTGTGCTATCTCTGTTAAATAAATAAATAAAAATCTTTAGAAATTAAAAAAAAAATTTTAAAAATTTCAATCTAAAATTACATACTTACAATTTTTAACTAATGTTTATGGATTAAACATTACATTTTGGATAATGACTAAATATTACATGTTATGTGAAAACAGAGGCAGAGTCTGGAGTGATATGTCTACAAGCCAAAGAATGCCAGAAATTGCTGACAGCTACCCAGAAGCTAGGAGAGAAAGATGGAATGTAATCTCCCTCAGAGCCTTCACGTGGAAATTTTAAAAGCTGAAAGAATATACCACCAGCAGACCTGCACTATGAAAAATGTTAAAGGTAGTCTTTCAAGCAGAAGGAAAATAATACCAGATGGAAATATGAATCTACATGAAGAAATGAAGACTAGAAATGGAATATGCTATGAATATAAGTATTTAGAAGTATATTGTTTTTATATAATACATCAAGCGGTATAAAATCACCTGAGGGTAGAATGTGATAAGTTAAAGATATAATCTACAAACCCTAAAGCAACAACCAAAATAAGACAACAAAGAATTATAGCTCATAATCAGCAAAGGAGAAAAGTGGAATCATGAAAAAATTCACCTAATCCAAAAGAAGGCAGAAAAAGAGGGGGGAAATGGTAAAAAGAAGAGGTAAGAAAAATAGAAAACAAAACTCAATCATGTCAACAATCACATTAAATGTAAGTGATCTAAAAACTCCAATTGAAAGGCAAAGATTGTCAGAGTGTATAAAGAAGAAGGATGTCAAATAAATAAAATCTTAAAAAAAAAAGTAGAATACAAGTATATGTTGCCTAGAAGACACTGACTTTATTTTTTTATTTTTTAATTTCAAGTTTTTATTTAAATTCTAGTTAGTTAACATATATGGTAAAATTGGTTTCAGGTATAGAATTTAGTGATTAATCACATATAATAACACCCAGTGCTCATCACAACAAGTGTCCTCCTTAATACCCATCACCTATTTAGCCCATCCCCCCTGCCTACCTCCCCTCCATCAACCCCCAGTTTGTTCTCTATAGTTAAGAGTCTCTTATGGTTTGCTTCCCTCTCGTTTTTTTTTTTTCCCTTTCCCCTATGTTTATCTGTTTTGTTTCTTAAATTCCACATGAGTGAAATCACATGGTATTTGTCTTTCTCTGACTGACTTATTTCACTTAGCATAATATACTCTAGCTCCACCCATGTCATTGCAAATAGCAAGATTTCATTCTTTTTGATGGTTGAGTAATATTCCATTGTGTGTGTGTGTGTAGATATATAGATATAGATATACATATACATCTATATATACACACATATATAGATAGATGTAGATATTTTCTTTATCCATTCATCAGTTGATGGACACTGGGCTCTTTCCATAGTTCAGCTATTGTTGATAATGTTGCTATAAACATCAGACATGGGGTGCATGTAAAAGACATGACTTTAAATACAAAGACACAAATAGATCAAAAGTAAGAATATGGGAAAAGATATACAATGCTAATACTAATAAAAAGAAAAATGGAGTCACGCTAATTTCAAAGCTTACTACAAAGCTATGGTAATCAAAATTGTATGATACTGACATAGGATGGATATCTAGAGAAATATAATAGAATTAAGAGTCCAGAAATAAACTCTAAACATTTATAGTCAATTAATTTTTGACAAAGGGGCCAAAACAATTCAATGGATAAAGAACAGTCTTTTCAACAAATGGTGACGGGATAACTACATATCTACATGCAAAAGAATGAATCTGGATCACTATCTTACACCATACACAAAAATTAACTCAAAGTAGATCACAGACCTATGTACAAAACTCTCAGAAAAAAACACAGGATCTTAACTTAGGCAAAGACTTCTTAGATACAATATCAAAAGCACAGCTATAAAAGAAAAGATGGGTAAATTAGTCTTCAACAAAATTAAAACTTTTGTGCTTTAAAAACCACCATCAAGGGGCCCTTGTGTGGCTCAGTCAGTTAAGTATCCAACTCTTGATCTTGGCTCAGGTCTTGATCTCATGGTCATGAGTTCAAGGCCTGCACTGGGCTCCATGTTGGGCATGGAGCCTCCTTAAAAAACAACAACAACAACAAAAAACCAAAAAACCCACCTACAAGAAAGTGAAAAGAGGGGTACCTGGCTGACTAAGTTGGAAGAACATGTGACTCTTGATCTTGGGATTATGAGTTTGAGCCCCACCTTGGATGTATAGATTACTAAAAAAAAAAAAAGAAAAGAAAAAAAAGAAAGAAAGTGAAAAGAAAATCCACAGATTAAAAGAAAATATTTGCACATCATCTGTCTGATACGAGACTTTTATCCAGGATATAAAAAGAACTCTCACAACTCAATAAAAAAACCACAAAAAACGTAATTTTAAAATGGGCAAACAATAAACATTTCTCCAAAGATATACAAATGGCCAATAGGCACATGAAAAGATGCTCAACACTGTTAGTCATTAGGGATACACAAATCAAAACCACAATGAGAGAACACTTAGCTTGATGAGCACTGAGTAATATATAGAATTGTTGAATCATTATATTGTACACCTGAAATTAATATATAACACTGTATGTTAATTATAGTGGAATTAAAATTTTAAAAAAATAATAAACAAATCAATTGATCCACAATGAGATTACCACCTCACATGGATTAGAAAGGCTACAACAAAAAGACAGACATTAACAAGGGCTGGTAAAGATGTGAGGAAATTGGAATCCTCATATATTGCTGGTGGGAATGAAAAATAGTGCAAACAGTTTAGCAGTTCCTCAAAGTGTTAACACAGAGTTACCATATAACCCAGCAATTCCACTCCTAGGGATCTACCCAAGAGAAATAAAAACGTATGTCCACATAAAAACTTGTACACAACTGTCCACAGCTGCAATATTCATAACAGCCAAAAAGTAAAAACAACCCAAATTACTAACAACTGACAAATGGATGAACAAAATGCATTATACATCCATACGATGGAATATTCATGTTACAGCATGAATGAACCTCAAAAAGATCATGCTAAGTAAAAGAAGTCAGTCACAAAAAAACACTTATTATATGATCCCATTTATATGAAAAGTCCAGAATAAGCAAATCTATACAGATAGCAAGTAGATTAGTGGTTACCCAGGGTCTAGAGAGGGAGCAGGGGGTAGAGAATGAGGAATTAATGGGTACTAAGTTTATTTCTGGAATGATGAAGATGTTCTAAAATTAAGTTATGGAAATGGTTATACAACTCTGTAATTATAGTAAAATTAATATAAAAATTGTGGAATTTTCCCCAGGAAAGCAATAAATTATATTAATAGGCTAAAGGACAAAAACCACATGGTCATCTCAATAAATGCAGAAAAGGTATTTGACAAATCTAACATTCATCCCTGATAAAATTCTCACCAACTATGGAGGGCAATTTCATCAACCTCATAAAGGGCATCTATGAAAAATCTACAGTTAATATCATTCTTAATGAAAAATAAGGTCAAAAACAAGGCAATAGGGCGCCTGGGTGGCTCAGATGGTTAAGTGTCTGCCTTCAGCTCAGGTCATGATCCCAGCGTCCTGGGATCGAGTCCCGCATCGCGCTCCCTGCTCCTTGGGAGCCTGCTTCTCCCTCTGCCTCTCTCTCTGTCTCTCATGAATAAATAAATAAAATCTTTAAAAAACAAAAAACAAAAAACAAGGCAATAATATCTGCTCTCATCACTTCTATTCAACACTGTAATGGAAGATCTAGCCACTGCAATAAGGCTTGGAAAGGAAGAAGTGGAACCCTTTTTTAGCAGATGACATGATTAGCTATGTAGAAATTCTAGGAATACACAATAAAAGTATTAGAACTAATAAACAAGTTTAATGAGGTCACAGAATACAAGATCAATATATAATAGTTAATTATATTTCTATATATTACCAACAAATAATTTTGGAAATCAAAATAAAAATTATAATAATATAAATATAAAATATTTAAAAATAAATCTGACAAAAGATGTACAAGACCTAAACACAGATTAAAAATCATTTAATTCTCTTTGCTCTGTGTCCCTTATGAAACTATAAATGCTCTGTGGTAGAAACCTCTTCCTGTCATCATTCTTTAGGCTTTGGCTACTTTTATATATACCAATTTAAATCTCAGACTTACAAAAGTTAACAGTTTAACACTCAAAATGTACAGTGTCATTACTCATGATGTATGTATACAGGGTAACATGACCTGATAGTCAGTTATCCAATTATAAATAATTATTGGAATGGCTTCTTGACTTTGAGTCCACTAAATAAAAGCTATAAGAATATACTCTGCATTACATCCACTAGAATAGAATACTGAAAATTGTGCATGCAAAAATATGAAATGGGCCATTTACACACAATTCACAGTCAAACAATCTCTATAAATATATATGTTCATATGCATTATGTATATGGCAACACATTTTTCATGTTCAAATAAATGTAAAAGAACTTTTTTTTCAAACTGTTGAATTTAAAGGGTTTTTTGAGGAAAAATTAATGAAAAACAGGCTGTATATATTTGACATCAAAAATTTCCACTTAGAATGAAAATAATAAGAAAAATTATCTGTATCTGTAAGCTCCACTGAGTATATCCCTCCTTTATTTATACCTCTCTGTTTATTTCTGAGCTTCTCATCCTTTAAAAATACAGTCAAGTTTTAAAATAAAAGGACTTTTGGGCACCTGGGTGGCTCAGTTGGTTAAAATAAAAGGACTTTTTTTTATTCTATTCAACAATTAAGTATCATCTGTCTAATATTGGTGAATTTCTCAGTATAAGATCCACATACCTAGAAAAGTAATAAAAGTTGGCTGTTTTCTAATTTTGCTGGTAATTATACCTATTTAAGCATTCCTTAATTGCAAGCTTTGACTTTTATTAAAACTTGTAATCCATACTTTAAGCAGATCCAGTCAAGGGGAGAAGAAATAAAACCCATAGGGATATACTAATATCACTTTTAACTTCACCAATTTCAGAACACATCCAAAGGAAGAGTTCCTGGATATTTGTAAGATGTCTGAAAATTTTTAAGTAAAATACTAAATTTTTCAATGTTAAAAAAAAGACCTGAAAACTACAAAACACTGCTGAAAGAAATTTTTAAAGACCCAAATAAATGTAGAAATATACCATGTTTATGGGTTCATTGGGCCAAATATCCAATATTGTTCAGTGTCTATTCTCCTAAAATTTATCTATAGATTTAATGCAATTCCCAGCAGAATTTTTTTTTTAAAGATTTTATTTATTTATTTGAGAGAGAGAATGAGATAGAGAGAGCATGAGAGGGGGGAGGGTCAGAGGGAGAAGCAGACTCCCTGCTGAGCAGGGAGCCTGATGCGGGACTCGATCCTGGGACTGCAGGATCATGACCTGAGCCGAAGGCAGTCGCTTAACCAACTGAGCCACCCAGGCGCACCCCCAGCAGAATTTTTTATAGAAATTTACAATCCGATTCTAAAATTTTAAACAGAAATATGAAAGATTCAAAATAGCCAAATTAAATTTGATAAAGAAAAACAGAGTTTAAAGTCTAACACTCTGATTTCAACACTTACTATAAAGCAACAATAATCAAGACAGTGTATGTAGTATTAGCATCAAGATAAACAAATAGATCAGTGAAACAGATTAGACCTGAAAGTATAAGGACAACTGATTTTCAACAAAGGCAATTATGTGTAGAAAGTCCTTTTGGTAAATTATCATGGAACAATTGGATAGTTACTGGCAAAAAAAATGCCTTAACCCATACCTCACACCACATAGCAAAATTAACTCAAACTGAATCACAGACCTAACTGTAAACTTAAAACTATAAAATTCTTACCAAAAAATAATAATCATAATCATAGGAGTTAAAAATCTGCAGATTAGACACAGATTTCTTATGTATAACATTAAAATCATGATCCATAAAAGAAAAAAAATTCACAAATTGGACTTCAACAAAATTTAAAACTTCTCCTAGAAAGATACTTCAAAGAGTATGAATGAACAGAAAGGCCACAGACTGGGAGAAAATATTTTTAAATCATATATCTGATAAAGGATTTGTGTTCATACCACAGAATACTACTCAACAATAAAAAAGAATGAACTATTGATAGATGCAACACATGGATGAACTGCAAAATAATGATACTGAGTGCAAGAAGTCAGTCAAAAAAGATTACTTACTATGTAATTCCATTTATATAAAATTCTAGGAAATGCAAACTAATCTACAGTGACTGCAAGCAGACTAGCAGTTACCTCTGAGAGGAAGCTGTGGGAGAGATGGAGATGGGAGGGGTGAGGAGGAGTCAGAGAGAAGGATCACTGAGGGCAATGAAGGAACTTTTGGGTGATACAAATGTCAAAACTTACCAAATTGTGTAAATACATACACTGCGTTGCATGTGTGTCAACTTACAACAAAGCTTTTTTAAAAGGAAGTGGAGCAAATTTGACAAAACGTTAACATTTACTAAATCTTGACAGTGAGTATATGGTTGTTGTACGTTTCTCCACACTTTTCTGTATACTTGAAATATTTCCTCATTTAATGTAGAAAATCTAATCAAATTCCTCAATGTGACAGCTAAAGAAACTGAGTAAACAGCAGAGATAGGGCTGGAGCCTAGATCTTTAGTCTCCTACTTCAGTACTCTTTCCATTCTATCAGGGGAAAAAAGTACAATTTGCATACATACATGAGGTTCAGAGAAAAATGCTTACCCTTAAATTTATTCACTGTCCCAATGTTTTGAAGAATTCTTCTAGGACTGTTTGCTGCAAAACAAGCTGCCTTTTCATATTCACCAAGTGACATTAAGTCATTGAACCTACAGCCATTCCATTTCATTATGCATTATAATAGTACACATAAAAAAGAAAAGAAAACTGATTAGAAATGTCTAAAACAGACTAAACACAGTAATATAGAAAAACTATATCTAGAGTCATTCACTAAGATTTTTTTTACTCTTTCTGTAATATTCTGTCATTTTTTGTATCCTCAGAATAAAACTCTCACCTGACAGAAGACTTTGAACCTTACCCTGTACTTTATTCCTATAGTACTTACTGCAAGACATAGAAAATGGAAAGAACTTGAACTGAATTCACAATAAGCTCAGATTTTTTTCTCTCATATCGTCTGCAGATGAAAAGGGATATCAGGGGAAAGAAGAGCAATCTGCTTAGAGACTCAGCCTAGGGGAAATAGTAATCGAAACACCAAGAACGCGGAACTGGAGATCAAGAGGTGTCCTTGGTATTCAGAAGCCTATGTTACTCTGCCAGGCATCAGACTCCTGATTAATTATGAGAGTAACACAAGAAGAAAAAATAATAGTTCAGTTAACTTAAGCCTCTACGCCTCTTCCTAGGGCAAAATGTCTTCAAACCAGCCCTTACCCCACAATTAATAAAACTATGGCAAACAGGATTTACAGTGTTGCAAATGAATTTGAAACCCTAGAGGGGAAAAACACCAAAATAATACTAATAAGCAAAATACATAAGACTTTTAATTTCAACAAGGGTTTTGCTCTCATATCTAACACTGATAAACGTGGGGATGCCTACAGTGTAAGGAAATAGCACAGGCTTTGGCACTGCCCCAAAATGACCTTTGCCCCTCTTTGTACCGTATCAGTAAGACAATCCACAATTAAAAATTGTTTAACATATGACTAGGAATATTACATATGCTCCTTACATATTGGACTCATAGCCTATAAATTAATCTCTTAAAGAAGAGTCTGAGGTCTCTGTAAGCCTCTATTATACGCTACATATAGTAACTTAAACATTAGGAAGAAATGATGGGAAAAAAATGACTGAATTAGTTAGGATAATCTGACTCAAGAAGGCCTTCTCAAAAACATTTCATAACATCAGGCTAATGGCTAGGAAATGCAAATATATATATAAATAAAACTTAAATCAACACTGTGAGCCACCTACATCCTCTGAAAAATCTCCTAGACTACCCATCTAATATTTTTCACACAAAGAATCTATTTTTTTAAAATTCTAGTTTATTTTCCAATTTGTTTGCTAGAGTAAAATTGTAAAAATACAAAATCTAGAGACTGTAGCTCATCAAGATGCTAAATAAACGCTAAACATTTATAAATATTAAATATTTACTTAATATTTAAATAAAAAATAAATGTGGTAACATTTTAACAAGGAAAATCAAAGCTTTTAAAATATTTGCCTTTCAATGTAGCAAAGCAAAATTTCAGCTTCTTTTGCCTTGCCTGGATCGTCTTCAAGCAGTTCTTCAACAATGCCTTCGTCACCTATAATTACTGAAAGCACCACAGGATATTTAAGATTATCAATCAACAGAAAATAATAAATATATATATGTTTAATTAATCAGCAACTTAATGCTATGGTTTCTAACAGCACCAACCTCTTCCTAAACTGAGTGGCCTCCCTGTTCATGTCTCCCATATTTTCAGGTACATTTTTAGGTATTCTCTCTTTGGCTTACCACATCTACTATTTACCAATTATCTGTTAGCTGTTGAAGGAAGAAGCTCATTGGGTAATAGAGACATAACAAAAGTAAGTACATTTTTTATTTCTTTAAGCTCAGCCTAGGAAAATTCTCACTCTTTAGCTTTCTGGGGGGAAAACGATGTTTTCCATTATTTGTGTTAATTAAAAAAATATAGATAAATTACCAGGTAAACTTTTAGTTTTCTGAATTTGCTCCACAAAGTCTTCAAATGAGCTGCTCATATCAGATTTTACCCATGAAGTAAGTGCATTTGAAATAATCTGCAGTCTTTGATGACTACAAAGAAAAAAAAAAATCAGTATACTGAACCTAAAATCAAATAGTGGAGTAATAGAATAAACACAAATAAAAGCTTCAAACTTAAAAAGTATATGATCAACTTTCATACCGAAACTGTAATTCTTTGTTCAGATTTTCAGCTAAATCTCTCCGTTTTAATGTTACAATCATTTCCTCATCTAACTCTGCCCTCCTCTGAACTGGTACATATTTTTTCAACATAGCCTGTTTAATTTCAGCATATTTATCTTCAAGATGTTTCAGGTATTTAGTGAGAGCAACTAAATTGACAGATTCTTGGAGAGTCATGCCTACAGAGAAAAGGGAACAAGTCAAAAGAGAAACCATGTTGGGGACTCTTGTGCTCAAATGGCAAGTCTTAGCAAAATAGATCATAGTTTGCTATGTTAAGAAATAATTAAGAAATGGTAGCATGAACTTATAACTTACTGAACATAAAAAGAATTGGCACACAATTTTAAATGTGTAGCAGTTTTAAACATATCATCAATGAAGGCTGATTGTCCAAAACTTAGCATCTTAAAAAGTTTTTTTAAGCTTTTTATTTTTCATATTTGAGAGAGAGACGGGGCGGGGTGCACAAGCTGGGGAAGGGAAGGGGGAGACAGAATCTTAATCTTAAGAATCAATCTTAAGATTGATTATATACTTTTTAAGTTTGAAGCTGAGCATGGAGCCCAAGTGGGGCCTTGATCTCACGATTCTAAGATCAGGACCTGAGATGAAATCAAGAGTCGAAGGCCACCTAGGTGGCTCAGTAGGTTAAGCACCTGCCTTTGGCTCAGGTCATGATTTGATCCCAGGGTCCTGGGATCGAGCCCTATATTGGGGCTGTGCAGGGAGCCTGCTTCTCCCTCTCCTTCTGCTGCCCCCACCCCCACTTGTGTTCTCTCTGTCAAATAAATCAATAAGTAAGTAAGTAAGTAAGTAAGTAAGTAAGTAAGTAAAATCTTGAAATCAAGAGTCGGATGCTTAACTGACAGCCACCCAGGCTCCCCTGCATCTTAAAAAGTTTTAATGACCTCACTGTCACACCTTGCAAACCTTTAAATATCACTGTTACTCAATACCACTAAGAGCTTCTGCCTAACAATTCAGGATTTTTGTCCCAAGATTTCTAACCAAAGATTCCATTAATCTGCTACAACAAACTCCAGGGTAATCTGTTTATTCTCTCCAGTGCGAAGTTTATAAAACCTGCCAAGCCCTCAGTCCTCTCTCCCTCCTTGCCCCTGTATTCATTATTCATAACAACCCATTCACACCCACTTGAAATGATTCCCTTATTCAGGCCAATTGTTGGCTTTAAAGGCATGCATCAAAATTCTCTCCCAGAAACCTGCCTGGATTAATCCTACTCAATTTTTAATCATTCTCTTACCCTGAATCCTCTCAGCATTTAACCAATTTGGCTTATTCTCTACTTATTCATATGTACCTTATTTGTAGTTGTATTATCATAATTTTATATTTGAAAATGAATCTAGTCCCTGCTTCCACCAAATGCAGGATGATCGTCCAACCTGAGGTGAAATCCTCTGGTATGCAGCAGTTCGTTACTTTCAAGACGTAATTTCTTCTATTGAAACTCAATCTGACTTCCTAAAATTTCCACCTATTGATTCTGCCTCTGGATAAAAACTGGTTGAAATCCTTAAAAGTTCTGAATACAGTTGGGTATTTTCAAAGTCTCCCTTTTCTCCAAGATGAATATTTGCAGTTCTATCCATGCATCCTACAAACTTCTCAACATCCTCATGAATTCTAGGATATACTCCAATTTCTTAAAATATGGCTTAGCTGAAGATAAAGAACCAGTGAATGCTGACATCAATGTGAATCAACAATATTCACTAGAACTTAATACATTATAGTTTTTTCATATATTATATCAGGGATTCTCAAACTTTAGAACTACCTGAAGGCCTTGCTAAAATACTGTTGAGCTCCACCCCACCCCCACCCCAACTCCCATCCCTGGAGTTTGACACAATAAGTTTGCAGTGGGGCCAGAATTTGCATTTCTAACAGGTTTGCAGGTAACGTGACACTGATGCAAGAACCAAATTTTAATAGTCACTCCCTTATACTTTATATAATCCAGCCAGTCTGGAACTCTCTCAGTCTTTCAGGGTTGTTGAAGTTGTCTCATTCCCTTGTATCAACCTGGAGCCCGAGCTAAAGTTGTTTGTGAAGTCTGGTTAAAGTCCTCGTACACTTGCACACATACATATTGCAGCATATATATACTAATTTGTATGACTGGTAATAACTGAAAACAGTTGGAATTTCAAACATTTTAAACAAAATACAGTACCTGGAATAGGTTTTGAAGGATCTTTGGAGAAAGTATGGTATCTTACTTCTTTTGCATCATATTCTGCCCTAAGTTGTTTCATTTTGTCTATTTGCAATTGAATCTTTGAGGAATTATTTTCAATAACCCTCTTTCTGAAAAACAGAAAGGCTTTCTTATATTTCTTTCAACTAGTTAATTATTTAATCATAAGATTTAAAGTAAAACAGGTTAAATCATTACTTTATTTTGGCTAATTATCATTTTGAACCATTATGGACTTGGGTGTTAAGTTTACAAAACAATGCCTGTAAAAAGTTAACTAACCCCAAAAGTGAGGAACAGTTTTCTTTCAGAGCATCATTAAAATCTTACACTACGATTCACAACCTTACTGGAAATTTGTACGTGTTAAACATAATAATCTGGCCACAAAATACTATGTCTATTCCCTATAGTTGAAAATTACCTTTGCAAATAAAATTATTTTTGTAGTTATATCAGCTTCCTGTGGCTGCTATAACAAATTGCCAAAAACTTATTGGTAGCTTAAAACAACAGAAATTTATTCTCCTATAGTTCCAGAGATCAGAAATCCACAATCAGTATCACTGGGCCAAAATCAAAGGGCTGTGCTTCCTCTTAGAAGCTCTTGGGAAGGGCGCCTGGGTGGCTCAGATGGTTAAGCGTCTGCCTTCAGCTGGGGTCATGATCCCAGGGTCCTGGGATCAAGTCCTGCATCGGGCTCCCTGCTCCCCAGGAGCCCGCTTCTCCCTCTGCTTCTCTCTCTCTCTCTCTCTCAAGAATAAATAAATAACATCTTAAAAAAAAAAAAAAAAAGAAGCTCTTGGGAAGAATCTATTCCTTGCCTCTTCCAGCTTCTGGGGGCTGCAGGCCTTCTGGGGCTACATCACTTCAATCTCTGCCTCCATGACCACATTGCCTTCCCCCGCTTCTGCCTGTCAACTCTCCTAGCTCTTTAAAAGAACACTTGTGATTGTATTTAAGGCCCACCTAAATAATCCAGGATAATCTCCCTATTTGAAGATCCTTAACGTAGTAGCATCTGTAAAGACCCTTTTTCCAAATAAAGTAACAATCCCAGGTTCCCAGGATTAGGACCTAATATCTTTGAGGCCATTATTCAGCTTCCAATAGTAATTTTAATCCTAGAGCTGGAAGAAGGATAGCACCTCTTTGAGATAAAACTGTCTTATTCCAGAAATGGGGATCTTAAAGACCGAGAGGTAGATATAAATTTCTTTTAAGCATTATTTGAAGTTCACTGCCTAGTTTATCACTGATATGTTGGCCCTGGGAGGAAAATAACAGATTAAAATAAATTAGATATATAAATGTCAGTTTCTAGCAAATTAAAAACAAGTTTGTCAGTAGAGAATGGCTACCCACATCTGATTACTATACAGATTTCCTGGTACCTACAGATGGCTGAGTAAGAGCCTGCAGTATTTATGAAAGAGGGACTGTGGAAATAAAATACCCTTTGGCTTTCATCCAAAAAACTTATGCTTGTGGAAGAAGAGCATGTTAAAAGTAAACAGACTTTTGGTGTGCCTGCATGGCTCAGTTGGTTAAGTGCCCGATTCTTGATTTCGGCTCAGGTCATATCTCAGGGTCAAGGGATGGGGCCCATATCAGGCTCTGCAGTCAGCATGGGAGTCTGTTTGAGATTCATTCTCTCCCTCTCCCCTTGCTCACATTCTCTCTAAATAAGTAAATAAATAAAATCTTAAAAAAAAAAAAAGTAAATGGACTCCCAAAAGAATTGAAAGCAGGGACTCAGATACTTATACATGAATGTTCATAGTGGCATTATTCACAATACCCAGAGGTAGAAACAACCCAAGTATCCATCAACAGATAATTAGATAAAAATGTGGTGTATTCATAAAATGGAATATTATTCAACCACAAAAAGGAAAGAAATTCTGATATATGCTACAACACCGAATGGAGGGTATTGAATTGTTGCTTCTTTCTATAACTACTTTTAGGATCTCCTTATCTTTGACAATTTCACTATGATAAATCTAGTTGAGAATCTCTTAATATTTACAATGCTTGGGATTTGGGGGGCTAAGAACCACTGTTTATAGTTACATTAACTAGGTAATATAACCAAGTAACAATTATCACCTTTTGGGCTACTTACTAATATACTTACTTTGTTTCAAGTTGGATTGTTCTTTTCCTGTGATACACCAATGCTGTGGGCTCTGCTGCCAAAGCTTTAAGTTTTCCATGAAGACAAAATGCAGTTCTTTGGCCTTCCTTCATTGTCTCAATAAAGGCATCATATTCTTTTTTGATCGAAGTAAGAATGGATTTGTATGCAGTGACATACTCTATTACCTGAAACATGATTTTTCTGCCTATGGTACTGAATTTTTTTTCTAGAAGACTACGAAACAAAAGCCTTGCAAACAGCATTGTAGATTATTTCTTAAATGAAACATGATGAGCAGTTAGAAGTCTTAAATTTTAATACCTAGGGTATTAAAGACAACTAATATTTACTGAATATGCACTTTGTGAATCATTACAATACTATGAACTTAAATATTTTTGCTCTACTTAGTATGAACACATACATGATATGATGTCAGTTAAAACCAATACCAGGTTTAATTATCTCAATTATAGATCTTTGAAATATAATTGCCTATCATCCCTTACTGTCTCCAAATTTAGTCTCTGGCTTCATTCAGACCTTAAAATCCTGGATTCCTCTCACCTCTCTCTTTTTCTAACCTATCAGCTCCTACTGGCTAATCAATATTCTCAATTCCCCAATTGCATTTCTATTGCTAAGATGTCAAGTGCAACTATAGAAAACCTGCTACATATTCATGGTTTCCAATGGTGTGTGTAAGTACAGAATATCTCTAGAAGGATAATAAAAGGAAATGGAAATAGTGGGTGCCTGCAGAGAAGCAAAGAGGAAGCAGGGTCTGAGGTGAAAAGGACCTAACTTTCCATTGTATATTCTTCTTTATTGGCTTTCTTTTCTTTTTTTCTTTTTCTTTCCTTCCTTCCTTCCTTCTTTCCTTCCTCCCTTCCTTCCTTCTTGCCTATCTTGTGTATGCATTACCCATGCAAAAATAACTAACAAGCATTTTAAGTAAATTAAAAAACAAAAAATTATAAATATTTATGGTTTCCAAATTCTACACATGAGGCTTTTGGAAGGGATCAATATGTATAGGGAATAGATATGATCAATCCATAATTTTCTCCGAAAGCTATAATTATGCTGTCTATCCCAGCTACATCTCTAGTCTCTGGTATCCCCCATTGGTTTTCTGTTAGCTAAACAGTATCTAGAAAAAATTATCTGGTCTGGAAGAGATCTGGTCTATCAAGAAAGAGCACAAGCAGATTACAGATCAGTGGTAAATACCAGTAGAGGATATGTGAGTGGGAGATCCTGGTTGTCTTTTTGACATGACCATATTACCCATCTACCCAAACCAGGAGGACAGCCACCCAGGAACCTTTAATGAAACAGAGGCCACTCGTCTGCAGTCTTCCAAATCAAATACCCCACTGTTCCTGGCCATCCTCCACTTCACATGCCTCTGGGATATGCCACAACAATCCAATATAGTTTGGAAACGTAATGGAGAAAAAACGGACTTGGAGTGATGCCACAATCAGCTCCCATACCTGCTTGCTAGAAGACACAGATTTCAGAAGAACACAAATGGGAACCGTTGAGAACGCACAGGAGATGCGTAGAAGTAAAGGAAGCACAGTGGCATGCTACAGGCAGAATCCAGTTTTGCTTGACTCACAAAAATATTTTAAAATGTAGGAAATTTCACCAAAAACTGTATTTCCATTTCTCTTGAAAACTCTGAAAAATCTACCAACATGAACCCCCATTCCTTAATGGCAGTAATCAGCTGGAGCTTTAGACTGAACTGGTTCTTTATTTTGCCCCAGTCCTCGTGATCCCTTATTCTCTTATAGCCAACCCACTTAACTCTTTCATACGGTCTTCCTGGCTCTACATCATTCAAGTCTGAGGGTCAGGTTTGCATTAAACTCAAGAGACTTGGTAAGTACAGGGGTCTGGGGGAGAAGAGGAAGGGTAGTCATTCCACCTCAGCTCCTATATATGGACAGAGGCTATTTGTACATGCTACCAGAAGCACAAAAACCAGCCATTTCCAGAGGACAGTTGCCTCCATATTTCACCTATTTCTGTAGAAGCTCACTCTTCTAGCTTTGGTCTGCCTTGCTTATTAAGTCTTTGGCTCTTTCTATAACCTACCCTCAATTCTTGTTACAGGAGTTTCAGGTCCTCTTTGCTTTGATTCAGGCACGGTTCACTAGGTAAAATCCTCTATGTGTGTTTGTAAGCAGAATTTGGTATTTGCTCTGATTCCAAGTATTCAGAGATGCAAGTTAATACTTTCATCTTTGCCTAATTAGATCCTTCCAAGGAAAGAAGGAAGATTAGAGAAAGTAGTCATTAATAGTTTATTAACAAGCAAATATGCTAGAATAACATGAAAATGGAAAGATCAGGGACGCCTGGGCAGCTCAGTGGGTTAAGAATCTGCCTTCAGCTCAGGTCATGATCCCAGGTTCTGGGATCGAGTCCCACATTGGGCTCCTTGCTCAGCGGGGAGCCTGCTTCTCCCTCTTGCCTGACGCTCCCCCTGCTTGTTCTCTCCCTCTCTCTCTCCCACGCTTTCTCTCTGGCAAATAAATAAATAAAATCTTAAAAAAAAAAAAAAAGAAAGAAAATGGAAAGACCAATCATCTTTAGAAACTAGAAGAAAAGTTTCTCTAAGTGCCAAATAATTTCTATTTCAGACACCGTCTCAGTCCTAAAGAATAGAATTCTTTACAAGGCACAAATGTACAACGGACAGAAAGTGCACATGGAAATCTTGGGAGGTAGGGAGAAAAGGACTATAGATGTAAATATTATCTTTTATTTATTCCCATGTCTTTTCTTTAAGAATTAAATTAACCAACACCACCTCCAAAATGACTTTACTAGAACTATACTAATTTAAAGCAGACAACTCTTCATGTAAGAAAACTTCCAACAAGTGTCAGCATTTGGACATGCAAAGATAAGCATGTCACTGTTACGATAACTTTCCTTTGCTGGTTTCAGGTAAGTAGAGTCTTAGCATAATTCTTGATATTGATGAAACCATTCAAAACGCTGCCTTTAAACATTCATCCAATACATTCCTTAATGACTCAAAAGCAAAATCACTGATCATAATGACATATAAAATGAAGCTAACCTGCCAATGTACCAATTCTAAAAGATGGTGTTTCTAGATGACTTAAAAGAAAAGACTGTTTCTTTATTTTATACTCTTATGAATACTCATCAATTTTCTTAATTCCACTTGTAGGTATAGATCACTACTTTGTGCTCATTTTTCCTTACAGTGATGCACTGTGTTTTTAATTAGAGGAGAAATAAGATTCATAGTGTATACTGTTTAAAAATTAAACAAAAGACTGAGTTCCTATTTTGCCTGTGGCTGTTTTACTCAGAAACCAATAGTCTACAGAATTCTTAAGATAAATAATTATTTCTTCTGGGTAAGGAGGAAAGGATGCTGATTTCACTTATTTAACTGCCAGGGCATCTTCCAAGGGGGTTAAAAAAAGTAAGGATTAAAAAAAAAAAAAATAGAACCAAAGGGGAAACTGCAATTGTTTGTAAGGAAAAACAAGTGTTTCTAAAACCTTAAAAAGCAAAATCAAATGTTATATAAAGCCATTAACATTTTCTTTCTTTTTTTTTTAAAGATTTTATTTATTTGACACAGAGAGAGACACAGCGAGAGAGGGAACCTAAGCAGGGGGAGTGGGAGAGGGAGAAGCAGGCTTCCGGCAGAGCAGGGAGCCCGATGCGGGGCTCGATCCCAGGACCCTGGGATCATGACCCGAGCCGAAGGCAGACGCTTAATGACTGAGCCACCCAGGCGCCCCAGCCATAACATTTTCTAAACTCATCTATTTCCAGTGTTCAGTCCAGTCAAACCTCTTGTTTACTGGACCTATGGAGACCTCTAACTCACCAAGTGTTCCAACTTAATACGCTAGATCAAATCTCAGCCAACACTTTAATGGTATCACAAACAAACCCAAAACAACAACTACCAGGTTCCTGCTTGGCAGCCTAATTCCTAACAAATCAGGTATTCTTAGATAAAAGGCCAAAATGATGTTAGAAGGCACAACTAAGTTGTTGCTCAAAAACTGACAGCCTGCACTCAAGCTAAAACAATTGAAACATTCGTTAACTATCTAGTGATAGAAATCCAGCACTGTATTTTCCCCATTCATCCCTTCCCAATACACTGGATGAACTTCTCAAAATTGACAAATGAATTGCACTCAAACAAGCAGTGATGTTACTAAGGCAGGAAGATTAGTTGTCAAGATAGACCATTTCTACCGCATGAAAACTCCCTCATCTTAAGAGCATTTTGATACCTTATCAAAAACGTTTCGGTATATGATGTAATATTCATCAGCAGGTCCTTCCTCAGTACAGCCCACTCTTTCAGTTTCTGTGATTATGTATCTTTGCATACTTTCCAAAAATTCCTTGTCACTTCTACTAATGATAGGAGGGAGAACTGCATGTTTATTTATTTCTTGGATGGACATATGTCACAATCTGCACACTTGTTCACCAGAGAAGAGTTAAGTCTTGACTTGCTTTTGCAACAAAACCAAAACTTTGGTAAGCCTGAAAAAAAAAAAAGACCATCAACTGATCTGAAGCTTAAGATAAATTAAGACATTTCTAATAAATTTATAATAAATTAAAACTGGTCTAAAATGTGTATTTGTCATGGGAAAAAAATTTCCCATGAATCTCAGAGATAAATATTTCAACCTATGAATTAAAAGGTCTAACCTACTGTCAAGTGCTATACCTCTGGGATAGAAATACCAAACACCAGTCAATAAAGAGCACTTTTCTTAGTAACCAAGCCTATGTGTCATGTGATTGGATGGTTTCTTATGGTTTTTTTTTTTTTTTAAGATTTTATTTATTTTTTATTTATTTGACAGAGAGAGACACAGCAAGAGAGGGAACACAAGCAGGGGGAGTGGGAGAGGAAGAAGCAGGCTCCCCGCTGAGCAGGGAGCCCGATGCGGAACTCGATCCCAGGACCCTGGGATCATGACCTGAGCCGAAGGCAGACGCTTAACGACTGAGCCACCCAGGTGTCCCTGGATGGTTTCTTATGTTTAATTCATTACTTTCTAACAGAATTTACCAAGTTTGGAAGCCTCCTCATGATACAAACAAGGTCAGATACTTCTCTACCCATGTGCTTACTTGGCCCAGGCATAGTCAAGAGAGCTACAAACAACTCATGAATTTATTTTATGATAAACTTTATTATAATTCTTATCATTAAAATAAACATACTAACTAAAAAGTAAGATGTCAGAACTTCTGCTAAAACCCATCCATCAGTGATATCAAAGATAACAGCCCTTTTCTAGCACAGTTTCAAGCAGCTACATTCCATTGCTCTTTAAGAATCATTATCCAATTAAGAGTTAGATACAGAAATTGATTCCTGAAAACTATTCACATTAACATCAAACAGAACCCATGGCTTGCTGAAAAATGTCTGGCAAGGCAAAACATTTGAACTCTTCCTAACTTCTCCCCCACCCATGTATATTCAGGTATAAAATTTGGAAAATATAAACCAAAGAAAATTAATGAAAAACTAAAAATCTACAATCCTCCATCCAAACATAATGATTATTTAATATTTTGGTATATTTCCTTCCAGTTTTATAATTATAAAAATTAGGATCACGCTCTATATTCAGCTTTGTATCTTCATGTTTTCCACTTCATATTAAAAGCACTTTTCCCTATGGTAAGCACTGTGAATTGTCTAAGACTGATGAATCACAGACCTGTACCTCTGAAACAAATAATACATTATACGTTCAAAAAAGAAGATAGCAGTAAGGGAAAAATGAAGGGGGGGAAATCGGAGGGGGAGATGAACCATGAGAGATTATGGACGCTGAGAAACAAACTGAGGGTTCTAGAGGGGAGGGGGTGGGGGGATGGGTTAGTCTGGTGATGGGTATTAAAGAGGGCACATTCTGCATGGAGCACTGGGTGTCATACACAAACAATGAATCATGGAACACTACATCAAAAATAAATGATAGTAATGTATGGTGACTAACATAATAAAATAAAATTAATTTATTAAAAAAAAAAGCACTTTTCTATGTTGTTGAATAGTTTTCAAAAACATGACTTCTAGGGATGCCTGAGTGGCTCAGTTAGTTAAGTGTCTGCCTTCCACTCAGGTCATGACCCCAGGGTCCTGGGATAAGAGTCCCATGTCAGGCTCCCTGCTCCGAGGGGAGCCTGTTTCTCCCTCTGTCTGCTGCTCCCCCTGCTTGTGCTCTCTCTCTGACAAACAAATAAATAAAATTCTTAAAAAAAAAAGACTTCTAATGATTGTGTAGTATTTCATGGTATGATACACCATACTTTTTTTTTTTTTTTTTTTTGAGAGAGAGAGGTGGGGCTCACGCACAAGCAGGGGGTTGGGTGGTGGAGGGGAGAGAGGGGCAGAGGGAGGAGAAGCAGACTCCCCGCTGAGCAGGGAGCAAGCAGGGAGCCTGATGCGAGGACCCTGAGATCATGACCTGGCAGAAGGCAGGCAGCTGCTTAACCGACTGAGCCACCCAGGAGCCCATACTTTATCACTCCCCCACTGCTGGACATTTACACTATAATAAATAATGCTGCAATGAATAAATGTCTAAATCAATTTTACCATGTTTTAGCAATATAATTAATATCTGGTTATTTAAAATGACATATATGGCCTAGAGTTATATGGCCTATATATAGACATATATGGCCTATAAATCCTGCCCACAGGTCATAGGCAGGAGAGAGACACCAAAATAATTATATAATTATATAATTATATAATTATAACTTTATCACTCCCCCACTGTTGGACATTTACACTATAATAAATAATGCTGCAATGAATAAATGTCTAAATCAATTTTACCATGTTTTAGCAATATAATTAATATCTGGTTATTTAAAATGACATATATGGCCTAGAGTTATATGGCATATATATAGACATATATGGCCTATAAATCCTGCCCACAGGTCATAGGCAGGAGAGAGACACCAAAATAATTATCAAAGTTTAAAAGACCTAATTTACTTTATGTTGATGAACTGGATAATGAAAAACCAATTTATAAATGAACATAAGTAGTTCCAATAAGGTAAAAGCCCATAAATGGATCAACAGTTTTCCCAAGTGAGAAATCAATTTCCTTATTCATTCATTCAACTAATATTTATTGTTTACTAAATGCCAGCATTATTTTATAGCTAGAGATTCAGTAATAAATAAGATAAAGTTCTTGGTTCCTTGGAGCTTATAATCTAGCAGGAGAAACAGACTATAAATAATGTAATTTCAGATAGTAAAAGATAATGGTCAAAGGAGGAAGGAATGGGTGTGACCACTGGAGACTTAGTGGTTACATCTGAATGCCAGTGGCCTCCTATTAACCTTAGGATAATATCCAAGTTCCTTTACTTAGCCTATGAATGCCCTAGAGGAACCAGGTAGTCCCTTTCTCTCTGTCCAAATCTAGCCTTTTCATGCCCCTGCCCTTCTCATAACTCCCATCCCCACTCCCATGAATTTGCTGAGAGTCCTGCATAATTCTCTCCCATCTCTGTATGCCCTCCCTCCATCCTCAGCACTCCCTGCCCCCACCAAGATAACACTCATACCACCACTCTCAATCACTTGGCTTCTACTCATTTCTCAGATTTCAGCTTATACAGCTCCAGGAAAGCTGCCCTGAATTCCCTTAAACTTGGTCAACTTCTACATTCTCCCATGGTACTGTGCACTTCCTCTATCATGGTATTATCACTCAGCCACTCTATAATAGTGACTTTCTGTTTACATTCTCTATCTGTCTCAATAGGCAGGAACCAATATGTTCTCACTCCCCATTATCCTTCCCTACCTATACACATTCCAGTGCATAGTACAATGTCTAGCAGAATATGTACTTTAAAAAAACGCTTAATAATCAATAATCACTGAGCAATACTGTGGTCTGCTCATAAGACATGACTTGTGGGTGCCTCAAACCAGAACACAGCTAAAGTGACCGTTTCTCAGCATCTACAAAATGCCCGAGTCACATAAACCAACTCAGATGACCTTTCACTCCCTCATTCATATTAGACACAAAGGGATACAGAGAAAATGAGTCACAAAGATTCCAAGTCTATTGGGCTAGTTAAATAAGCCATTGCTACAGAGCAGAGAAGGCAGTGTGACAAGGGGGGCACAATGGGCTCCAAAAGCCCAGAGGTGCGCCTCACTAGTTTGTGGGAGAGAGCAGGGAAACAGCTAATGGAACAACACCTAGGGCAATACTTACGTTGTGCTGCACTTATTTATTCAATAAATTGGGGGAGGCACTCACCTACTGTGTCTGCCACTATTCTAGACACTAGAGATACAGCATCAAACAAAACAAAGTCCCGAACCGCTCAGAGGTTACATTCAAACAGGAAGGCAGACAACACCCACAAATACAGATGACACATGGGGCTAAGTTGTATAAACAAATAAAACAAGGAATGGGGACTAGAAAGAAGGTGGGAGGGTGCTATTTTATGCAAGGCATTAAGTTGGGAAAGAGGAAAGCCCTCATGATAAGGCGACATTTTATTTATTTACTTTTAAATCTTTAAACTTTTTTTTTTTTTAAGATTTTCTTTATTTGTCAGAGAGACAGAGACAGAGAGAGCCCAAGCAGGGCGAGCAGCAGGCAGAGGGAGAAGCAGGCTCCCTACCGAGCAAAGGAGCCTGACGCTGGACTCGATCCCGGGACTCCAGGATCATGACCTGACCTGAAGGCAAATGCTTAACCGACTGAGCCACCCAGGCGTCCCAACAAGGTGACATTTTAAAAAGGAGTTTAAAGATTCCTGGGAGGAGTGATGGATGCAGACAGAGCAGCAAGTGCAAAAGCCTCAAAGCAGGAGGGCACGTCTGACAAACAGCAGGAAGGCCAGTGGGGCTAGAAGAAAAAGGGACAAGGGATTGATAAGGTCAGAGAGGTAGCTGCCAGATCATGCAGGATATGAGGCCTTGAAGGCAGGACCACGACCAGCTCCCCCATGGGGCACCTTTGTACAGGTTAGAAAAAGGTGTCCCTTTCACTAGGAAGACTTGGCAAGAGGAACAATGGGTTGGAACACGGCTATGTCGTTCCAGCGCTGGAGCAACAGCCTCCCTTATAGGAATTTATGCTTCACTCTTGGTGACACGGGAAGTCATTGGAGGGCTATGGGCAGAAGAGTGACAGCTGACATACATCTTCAAAGAACCTTTCTTGCTGCTCTGTGAAGACAAGGATCAAAGCTGGAAGAACTGTTAGAGGAGTTTACTGCAATAATCTGGGCAAAAGATAATGGTGGCTTGAATCAGGGTGGTTACAGTAGAGGTGGTGAGAAGTGTTCTGCATAGAGAACAAAGCCAAGAAGAATTTGCTGTGCATAAGAAAGTACGTGGATATGAGAGAGCAGTCAAGGATGACCATAAAGTTTTTGGCCTTAGCAATGAGAAGATGGGAATTGCCATTTACAGAGATGGGAAGAGCAATTTCGTGAGATCAGGACTTCGGGCTTGCCTATGAGACGTGTTGCCTATGAGAGGTAGTCAGCTGGATATGTGAGGGTGGAGTTCTAGTGAGTGGTCTGAGTGAGAGATAAGTTTATACGTCATGTGCATATAAATGGTATTTAAAAGTTGAGATAGACGGGGCACCTGGGTGGCTCAGTTGATTAAGTGTCCAACTCTTGATCTCAGCTCAGGTCTTGATCTCAGGGTCATGAGTTCAAGCCCCACATTGGGCTCCACACTGGGCATGGAGCCTACTTAAAATAAAATTTAAAAATAAATAAAATAGGGGCGCCTGGGTGGCTCAGTCAGTTAAGCATCTGACTCTTTTTTTTTTTTAAAGATTTATTTATTTATTTAAGAGAGAGAGAGAATGAGAGAGAGAGAGAGTACATGAGAGGGGGTAGGGTTAGAGGGAGAAGCAGGCTCCTCGCTGAGCAGGGAGCCCGATGTGGGACTCGATCCAGGGACTCCAGGATCATGACCTGAGCCGAAGGCAGTCGCTCAACCAACTGAGCCACCCAGGCGCCCCAAGCATCTGACTCTTGATGCTCAGGTCATGATCTCAGGGTCCTGGGATGGAGTCCCGCATCGGGCTCCCTGCTCAGTGGGAAGTCTGCTTCTCCCTTTCCCTCTGCTCCTCCCTCTCAAATAAATAAATAAAATCTTTAAAAATTAATTAATTAATTAAATAGAGTTATGAGACAGAATGAAAATGACCTAGAAAATGTCAAAAAGCAGAGGTCCACGGACTGGGCCTTGGGTGGCACTCCAAAGTTTAGAGGTCTGGTAGATCAAGAGAAAGAAGCAAAAACAGCCTGGAAAAGTGTTCAGGAAAGTAGAAGTGAGAGAGGTATCCTGGAAGTCAGGTGAAAAAAAGTGTTTCAAAGAGGGAGGGAGTAATCAACTGTGTCAAATGCTGACAGATCACATAAGATTAAATGACCAGTGAATTTAGCAACATGGTGGTGATTAGTGACCCAGAGGAGCTATTCCACTGTAATGGTAGGGACAAAAACCTAATAGGAGTAGGTACAATCAATGGAAGGGGAAAACTGGAGACAATGAGTATAGACAACTCTTTGAAGGAGTTTTGTGGTAAAGATGGAGACAAGTTGGCAGAATATGGGATGAACAATGTTCCAGGAAGAAGAAATGGATTTTTAGAAGTGCCAAAGCATGAGAGAGGTAAGCTAGGAACTTCAATTAGCTCAGTCATTAAAGTGTAAACGGAGTAATGGGTTTGGCAGAATAGGCTGTAAGGGAGGCAGAGGCAGAATATCATACTAAAGAATTTGGATTTTATCCAGAAGGTGAAGTAGAATAATGACATAATCATCTTTACTTTTTAGAATGTTTTGGAGGCAAAGTGAGGATGGGTTAGAAAAGGAGAAAGACTGAAGACAGGTGAGAAGTTAGACAATTAACTCTTCGAAGAGAAAATTAAGGAGGGCCTGAATTTGGGGTTGGGGATACAGAGGAGAGGGCAGAGAGAGAGAAACAGAAAAGACATTAGGAAGGCACATTAGAAAAGATTCCGTGGTTTGTGCAGTGGAGAAAGGCCAAAAGAAGGTGTAACTTGCTTCTAACTGGCCCGCCTTGCTAGGCGACAACCCTGCACATACTCCCAAATTCTTCCCCTTGAAAGATTTCCTTCACAACCATTTCCAAGGTCCGGACTTGGAAATTTTACAACTAGTCGTTCCGCAGGTTTCTTACCCATATTTTAGTTTGAAAACTACTGAGATTTTCAACATTTTAAACTGTTTCACACTAAGGAGTCCTACACGAGGCCCAGAACTTTCCTCTGACTAGGACAGATTTGGGGGTTGAAGACGGGGAGGAGCTACATCTAGAAAAAGATGAACCCAAGGTTTTGAATACTACCTATCTTTGGCCACAGGAATTCCCTTCCCTTGGAGGCCAAAGCGTCCGCTGGCACATCGTTGATCTTCCGCCCCTCACCTGTGTATGTGAGTGAACGACACCTTCGTTCCCCAACCCTTCTCCTGCTTAACCTTTTTTCTTAGTCATTTCCGACCCGTTTCCACCTCAAACCATTACCCCGCCTCTCCCATCCTCCCTCCTCACCTGAACCCCTTTCTCCAAACACTGACTCCAACGCTTGGAGAGAGTTACTAGGGAACCGGAGGTGTGGAACTGCACCCTGGGACGAGTAGTCCTAACTAAAAGAAAGCAATGAAAAACTACAATTCCCAGAAGACAGTTCTTTTTCCTCCTTTTCCCTCAATAAGGACCCCTCAACCCCACCCCCTTTTAAAGACCTTCCTAGCCGCGTGGCTTGTACGGGAAAAGCCTTTTAAAGCCATTTTTCATTTGTTTAAATCTATTTCGAGAGCATTCTGAGGGTTAAAGTGAGAAACAAGTTCAGGCCAGAGAGGAGGAATGAGTTTCACGCCCCAGTCCGGCATGTGGCTAGACAGCCTCTGTGACAAGTCCGGCATTTGACGTGGTCGCCTAAGAGGTGGGGCCTCTGGCGGGGGCGCCGGGAAACCCCGTGGGCCGGCGCGTTGCTTTCCTTTCCGATCCGCCATCTGTGGTGAGTGTGTGCTCTTGGCCTCTCTCCGGCCAGTGGTCTACGCGGCGGCCTCTTATGTTCCCACGTCTGATCCTTCACTTCCTTTTCCTCAACTGCAGGTGGAACCGCCGCCAAGATGCAGATTTTCGTGAAAACCCTTACGGGGAAGACCATCACCCTCGAGGTACGGGCTAGGTGGCGTGAGGAAGTCAAGGCCGGAATAAGGGCCTGAAGTGGAGCCGGGGACCCGTGCCGATTTCTGCCGCAGAATATGTTTATGAGTCTGGGTTCTGAAAACTGGCCCTGAATTAGTTGTTGGCTGAGTAGGGCTTAGGGCTGGCTCTCGATGCTGAAGTGTGAGCTACCACCTCTTAAGTAGTTCTGTGCAGGCAGCCAAAGCAGGGGGCCCGCGCTGGGGGGAAGGAGGGACGCGCTCTCACCGGTGGGCGCGAGCGCGTGTGGCGCCGCCGCCGCCGCCGTCCGCCCTCGGTTGGGCTCAGGAAGTGTGCTCGCCGGCGGCAGTCCTGGGGCGGTTGCCTGCCCTCTGGGTGAGTGGTCAGCTCTGCTGGGTGGGCTTCGGCCTTCCGCCGGCTTGGTTCTGTACTAACTTGCACATTGAATTAGGCGTTTATTCTAGTTTCTTACTGGGTTATCGATTCATTTGCATTTTTAAACTCGTAGGTTGAACCCTCGGATACAATAGAAAATGTGAAGGCCAAGATTCAGGATAAGGAAGGCAAGTAATATTTTCTAGTTCAGAGAAATTAACCTGTACTGGCGCCAGCCTAACTACTGGACATACCTGCTGTTGGTGGGGTGGGAAGAGGTCGGATTGACAAAGCGAAATGTTTTTAAAATAGTAACAAATGTTTGTGAGCATGGGGCCATCCAGGGGTGCTCTTCGCATGTGTGGAATTTGGGTGAGCCATTTAATTTTCTACGTCTGCTTGATTTGTAAAATAAAGGTAATGTTACACGTATTAACTGTTGCTGGGATTAAATAAGGTCAGTTGTGCAAGCATTTAAAATCATGCCTCGCCTATAGTAAGAACTCAGTGACTGCTCTTAGTACCCTTTATTTGATTAAGAATTATCCATAAACCTAAGCAGATACGCTTGTTCTGATGTGACTTGATTTTTTGTTTTTTTTGTTTTAGGAATTCCTCCTGATCAGCAGAGACTGATCTTTGCTGGCAAGCAACTGGAAGATGGACGCACTTTGTCTGACTACAACATTCAAAAGGTCTGTTTGGAGGAAAGAGCAGTCCTTTAAATGTAAATCTTAATTTTGTAAGTTTTGATCAACACACAAAAGTGGGGGAGAATAACAGACTAGCAGTAGATTTCTAGGTGACTCCGGCATTAACACTTCAGAAACACTGCTGTAGTTTCTCACATTCTGGATTGTGTAGATTGCATCCCATGGTGTGACTTAATATGTTCTTAAATCTTCCTATAAACAAGTAGTTAATTGCCTCCCCCAAAACTTCCTGATGTGTGGTATTGTGTACTTATCACATCCAGTTAGAAAGTGCGTGAAGCTAGTTGCCCCTTAATGGAATCTGAGCATTAAATGTAATTATTTTAAAGCCTGTTTCATCCTCTTCTTTTAACAGGAGTCTACTCTTCATCTTGTGTTGAGACTTCGTGGTGGTGCTAAGAAAAGGAAGAAGAAGTCGTATACCACTCCCAAGAAAAATAAGCATAAGAGAAAGAAGGTTAAACTGGCCGTCCTGAAATACTATAAGGTGAGCTAACTTAATAAAAATGTTTTTATCTGTTGATTTAATAAATTTTGTTTGCATCTCTGGTTTCAGACGTTCTTTTAAAGTTTTCTTTTCTTTTTGGTATTTGATCAAGCTTCGTATGATGTTCACTTTTAGCTGCTTATTCCAAACTGAGTTCTGATTTTGAAGTCAGATCTGGGTCTAGGTCTTAACTTTGTCACCACTTGCAAGGCTAGACTACTCTGAACTATTTTGTTGTAATTACTAGTGAGGATTTGGAGCGCTTTGGTTTTTAAATAAACTACCACTGTTTTGTGATTTTAAAGTACTTAAATATTTTGAGTCACTTAACTTAGACCAGAATATGTTGTAAAATTATCTTAACAGCAGGTTTGTACTTTTTAGGTGGATGAGAATGGCAAAATCAGTCGCCTTCGTCGGGAGTGCCCTTCAGATGAGTGTGGTGCTGGAGTTTTCATGGCTAGCCACTTCGACAGACATTATTGTGGCAAATGTTGTCTGACTTATTGCTTCAACAAACCAGAAGACAAGTAATTGTATATGGGTTAATAATAAAAGACATGAACTAACACTTAATTGTTGCATTTTATTCCAGTGACTTAGAGTGGTTTTAAGTATCCAATTGATCACACCATTTTGATAAACTACATATACTTTGGCAGAAAAACTAAGATTGTATTTAACATGAACTATCTAGATATAAGCCAGTTTGTCAGTTTTTTATGTCCGCACTATTGAAATTTTGGACCAGATAATTCTTTGTTGTGGGGGCTATCCTTGTGCATCATGGCCTCTACACACCTGATGCCAGTAGCACACCACCCATTCTCACCACTAGGTATATCCAGACTTGCCAAATGATCCCTGGGATGGTGAGGAAGGGGGGACCTGCCCATTGATCTCCACTTAGAGAAACACTGATTCGTATGAATTGGTGTTAACAGTTGGCCTAAACAAAGGCTGTGACCCATTTGTTTCATACATAATAAATGTAAAAGCTAAGCTTTCAGTAATCAATTAAAAAAGGTTATCCCGAGTCCCTCGGTGGTTTGGCTGGGGATATATGCTGTCTATAGTACAAGGGAACATTCTTCAATGTTGAGCGTGAAAACTTGGAATTTTAAACACTTTGTTCACTAGTTCTGTCAACATTGAGAAATAGTTTTGAGCAGTATTTGGCACATTTTGCCTGTGAGGTAAATTCAGGGAGGTTTGCTTATCTTGGTGTCACTCAATTAAAACATGCAGTTGAAGTTTACCATGAACTGATTATTACATTCAGTGGCATGCCAATACCCTTTAACATATTCTTTCCAGGATTTCTACTTGGAGACATGCTTAAATAAGGTTTCCTATTTTTGGAACATTTTGACAAGTTATCCATGTTAGCGCTTGGAATAACTACTAGGGTATTTTTTGACCAGATGTGGTGAATTCTTACCTTCAATAAAGCAAAACTAGTTGCTCTCTATAATAAAGCAAGACTTTGTTTATAGTTTTTAATTTATTTTTTAAATCTCTGCCCAGCATGCACTTTGAATTCTGAGATCAAGAGTTGCGTGCTCTATCAGGCACCCAGTTAATTGTTTACATTTTTAATACAATTTTAAAATCCTGGATCCCAGGAAGTCTTGGCTGGAACTTCTTTTTCTTCATAACAAACAATTTCATCTCCCACTTTAAATTCTATCTTTTCTTCACTCAAACTGAGACCACAATCCATTCCAGTTTTGATGACTGAAATGTCATCTTTATGGTGTTTCAATGAGGTTAATGAACCTTAAGAAAATACAAAAAAAAAAAGGTACATATATTGAACAAATAAATACTACTAAGTGCTAAATATTCTGGTATTAAAAGGAAGTTATAAATAAACACTGAAATTCTTAAGTTTTACAGTCCTATCATGTTAAATGATAGAACTAAATACTAGGGAAACCAAAGGAAAATGGTTTGCTGTAAACAAGATTTGGCTTATAGCGAAAGATAACTAAATCTCCCATTTCAAAGGTGGACTAACTTTGCAGAGGATTGGCATTATACTTAGGACTTAATGAGATAAATCCAGTAAAAGACTGCAGGCAGAAGGTCAAAAGGAGGTAAGCAAATACAATGCTGTAGAAAAGTACAGAACACAGAGCTAGAAAGGTAGTTTGGGGCCAATTTTTAGAAGCTTAGAAAATTAGATTACTGATTTATTGGGATTACTATAGGTGGTTATTATAGATTATCAGAATTTAGAATTTGTAAGGGAGGGAGCCAATCAATGAGACCAGGTTTGAGTTCCCAAGAAGGAATGGCCTGAACCAAGATATGGGAGTGAAACATTTCAGATAGTTACACAGAATCAGGTTTTGGTGACTGGACTTGAGGTCTATTAGAAACATTGTGATGTTGCTTACCCTTCCAAATAATACCTCCGTTACGGATTAATTTAAATTTTTTTTGTTTTTCTAACTGTCCCTTTTGGACTCTGCAGCCAGCCACAGGAACTTTTTTCTTCCCTTCTGTTACAGAGAAGGTAGCTAGTATAGAAGCCTCACCTTAAGAAAAAAAAGAACATTAAGTGCACAGAGAACAAGATTCTGAGAAGTACATAATTTCACATATTCTGCATGGCAAGAATTAAAAGTGTGAGAAAAAAACTCATGCAGAGAAAGAAGTCCAGGTTTTCTTTGAGTCTGCCAACTTTATTTTCCTGACTACTATTAGAAACATAAACATGAGGGGCGCCTGGGTGGCTCAGTTGGTTAAGTGTCTGCCTTTGGCTCAGGTCATGATCCCAGGATCCTGGGATCGAGCCCAGCATCCCCCCACCCCACCCGCAATAATCAGGGAGCCTGCTTCTCCCTCTGCCCCTCCCCCTGCTCCTGCTCTCTCTCTCATGCACGCTCTATCTCAAATAAATAAATAAAAATCTTTAAAAAAAAAACATGAAATCCCTGGGTTTTCGTGGAAAAGAAAATCACAAAAATAAACGTTTGCCAAAATAATGACAAGAGAAAAGTGGAATTCATTTTTTTAGCTAAATAAAATGCACTAGAAGATAATAGTTTACTGTCTGCTCCATAAAAACCTAGTTTTCAGCTGTGCCTCAATATATTTTCTCGAAGAGATCTGTTGTTACCTGACTTATTTTTAATCCCTCCATTGGTAATTTATATCCACTTAAGAGCACTAATTCTGTGACTCAGCTTAATTTTTTTCACTGAAAATTAAATTATAATGACATGCTATCACACACTATAATATACCAATTTACTGAAGTTAGTGTTACTTGTCTCCTAAAAACCCTCATATGACTCAAAAGTTTTCCAAACTGCACTTAGCACAAGAACATACAAATCTCTGTGTGGTCACGTTTAGCAGGTGAGAAAAAATCTAAAATCTCTGGACCATAAGAACAGATAAAATGGTTTAATCAGTCTCAGATAAATTTAGGTTTCCATCTGGCCAAGGGATATGCTAGAAAGAAAATTTTTAAATATGTGATACTTAAATGTAAAGTAAACTTTCTTCTCATGGTGGATTTCCCTGCCAGTTTTCAGGACAAAAATCAATGGCTTCCTCCACAACCCTACATATAATCTTTATCCCCTCCCATCCCAGTCTAATTTGTACTACAATTAGTTGTTGATGTCTAAACTTCAGGGCCTTTGTATCCTCAGGGCAGAAGCACATGTTGCAGACAGCAGATGTTTATAATACATATGAAGTTACACTGAATAGATCTGTAGTAATTTTTTTCTAGAACAAAGGCTATATATTGGAACAGTGAAGGTATTTCAACAGTGATTTACATTTTCCCCTAAACTTTGCTTTCAAAGTGTTACTTACAGCACCTAAGATATGAATGTTTAACATTCAGTGAACACTCACCTATTGGGTGCTCTTCCACAGTGCAGGGCAATCTGCTGCTCAATTCCTCCTGCAAATCCTCAATCAGATGGTAAATGATTTTGTGAAGTTTAATTTTTACTCCTTTTTTTGCAGCAGACTTCTGGATAACATTGCCTGCATTCACATTGAAGCCATATATAACACCTGGCAAGCAGAAATACAATCAATAAAGTAGCACAAATGTTGCATTAAACACTTTTCTTTCAAGCAGAAACTCAAATCTAAATTGTTTTATTTCCTTCTATGTAAATTAAAAGCGAGTAGGAGAGATGAGAAATTCTATCATTTTTTCTCATGAAAACTTACTAGTTTTCAAATTAATGAAAGGATTTTTGTAAGTTCTATTGTGGCTTGTTTAATTAGGAAAATTTCTTTATGATTTTTATTTATTTATTTTTAAAAGATTTTATTTATTTATTTATCAGAGAGAGAGAGAGCGTGCGTGCACAAACAGGGGAAGGGGCAGGCAGAGCAGGCAGAGGGGGAAGCGGGCTCCCTGCTCAGGGAGCCCGATGCGGGACTCAATCCCAGGACCCTGGGATCATGACCTGAGCCAAAGGCAGACGCTTAACCGACTGAGCCACCCAGGCGTCCCTTTTTATGATTTTTAAATCCATTTAAGAGACAAAAGTGCCCACAGTGTGCAAGGCAGTATGCTAAACAAAACTTTTATTTTTATTTTTTTTAAATTTATTTATTTGACAGAGAGAGACACAGCAAGAGAGGGAACACAAGCAGGGGGAGTGGGAGAGGGAGAAGCAGGCTTCCCACGGAGCAGGGAGCCCGATGTGGGGCTCGATCCCAGGACCCTGGGATCATGACCTGAGCCGAAGGCAGACACTTAATGACTGAGCCACCCAGGCGCCCCAAGACTTTTATTTTTATACTAGAGAAATAAGAAAACAAAAATTGATTAGGGCTAAAATATTATTACATTATTTTAATAACTGTATTACTGAATTATAATCTTATTGTCTACAACTTTTTGTGGTTTACTCGTAAGTATTCAGTTGGCCAAAAGATGCCCAATAATAGTTACTTAATTGGTAAAGTTCAAGAGTTATTTTAGAAATGAAAGAAGTTCCATGGAGCTGACCATTTTACCAAAGAATATATTTAGGGGCGCCTGGGTGGCTCAGTAGGTTGACTGTCTGACTCTTACTTTTGGCTCTGGTCATTATTTCAGGGTGGTGGGATGGAGCTCCGCTCTCACCAGGGATTCTGCTTCTCTCCTTCTCCCTCTGCCATTCCCTCTGCTCACATACTCTTTTTTTCTCTCTCAAATAAATAAATCTTTTTTTGTTAAAGATTTTACTTACTTATATTTAATTGACAGAGAGAGACAGCGAGAGGGAACACAAGCAGAGGAAGTGGGAGAGGGAGAAGCAGGCTTCCCCGCTGAGCATGGAGCCTGATGTGGGGCTCGATCCCAGGACCCTAGGATCACGACCTGAGCCGAAGGCAGATGCTTTATGACTGAGCCACCCAGGTGCCCCTAAATAAATAAATCTTTTTTTTTTTTAAAGATTTTATTTATTTATTTGAGAGAGAGAGAATGAGAGACAGAGAGCATGAGAGGGAGGAGGGTCAGAGGGAGAAGCAGACTCCCTGCCGAGCAGGGAGCTCGATGCGGGACTCGATCCTGGGACTCCAGGATCATGACCTGAGCCGAAGGCAGTTGCTTAACCAACTGAGCCACCCAGGCACCCCTAAATAAATAAATCTTAAGAAAAAAAAAGGGGGGGAGAATGTATTTAACTGCAAATACTTTGGAGGGAATAAAAAAGCAAAACACTGTTGGGACTCCTGCGTGGCTCATACAGTTAAGTGCTGCCTTTGGCTCAGGTCATGATCCCAGGGTCCCGGGATCAAGCCCCACATCAGGCTCCTTGTTTGACGGGGAGCCGCCTTTTCCCTCTGCCTGCCACTCCCCCTGTTTGTACACACTCTCTCTGACACATAAATAAATAAAATCTTTAAAAAAAAAAGCAAAACACTCTTCCTTAAGTGAAAAAAAGTAATGCAAACAATTTAAGAGAAAAACACAACCACCCTGAAAGTCTTATCATCAAGAATTCATTCAACAGGGGCGCCTGAGTGGCTCAGTCCTTAAGCGTCTGCCTTCGGCTCAGGGCATGATCCCAGGGTCCTGGGATCGAGCCCTACATCGGGCTCCCTGCTCTGCGGGAAGCCTGCTTCTCCCTCTCCCACTGCCTCTGCTTGTGTTCCCTCTTTCACGGTGTCTCTGTCAAATAAATAAATAAAATCTTTAAAAAAAAAAAAAAGAATTCATTCAACACACTATCAACATTTCATAGTATAGTGTAGACCAATCAGTGCCTAGAAAATTCTTGGAATTAACCAGCATTACTAAAAATACCTTTTCAGTAGTAGAGGTAACATCTAATTCTAATCAAGTCCAGTCATGAAGTAGCTCCTTCCTAAGTGATTCATTAATCACTCAATAAAATGTTGGTGCTTTGCTAGGTGTTAGATCTAAGTAGTAGAGGTAACATCTAATTCTAATCAAGTCCAGTCATGAAGTAGCTCCTTCCTAAGTGATTCATTAATCACTCAATAAAATGTTGGTGCTTTGCTAGGTGTTAGATCTAAAGTGACAGTCATGAGTCACCTTTTTGTACTTTTTGTATATCATAAGTTCAACGAATAAACAGCCCCCCTGCCTTCTAGGCATTTAAAGCTAAAAACAGTGCTCGCTTTGGAAGCACACACACTAAAGCTAAAAACAGCTTTTAATCTAAGAGACATATAATTTGTAAAATTACCAATAAACAAAAAATAGGTAGACAAAAGTAAAAGATGAAGTACTGAAGAGGCTGATTACAGTATTAGGAGCATTCAAAAGTCTAAATAAAAGATAACCAACCTTGGATTGGGTGGGGAACTGGGAGGGGGTAGAGGACACTAATCTTAAACAAAACAAAACAAAACAAAAACAAGAAACACTACTGGGGCTCAAAAGAGTTCCCCAGGGTTGCAGTATAGGGACAATGAGTGGAGCTATGGCTGCAATACTCCACATCCCATTCAGCTCCATGGCTGGGGCTTGACTACAGCAGGAGGGGGATGGGGCTTGACTACAGCAGGAGGGGGATGCTCATAAGGATAAATGGCAGACTGACTAGCCAACCAACAAAAGACAGAAGCAAATGGTTCACAGTGTGTTCTAGGGAACACAGTTAAACAAATAGGAAAGAGAATCCTTACCACGAAATGTTTCAGCAAGGTTAACATCATTTTCACTGACATCACCCACACCAAAATGTACTAATTCAAGTTTACACTCATGTGAAGCGTCATAGGTATCCATAATGTTCACAATAGCCTCGACGGAACCATCAACATCACCTAAATGCAGAAGTTTAAAATCACCAGTGTTAAGAGGCATTAACAGACACAAAAACAACAAAAATCTATTTAAAGCCATAACAGGAATGCCATTTACCACTAAATCCACTTTTATTTAGGTTTAGCATTATAAATATCTATTTAACTTTAAATAAAGTATAATGAACCAAATGTACATTTACAACAAAATCAGCAAGAAAAATGTTTATTAAAATCTCCCACAGTGAGGGATGGGCAAAAAGGGTGAAGGAGGGCAAGGGTACAAACTTCCAGTTACAAAATAAGTAAGTCATGGGATATAACATACAGTATGGCGACTATATTAATAATACTATATTACATATTGGAAAGTTGCTAAGAGAGTAGATCTTAAAAGTTCTTATCACAAAAAAATTTTTGTAACTATATATGATGATGGATGTTAGCTAGACGAACTGTGGTGGTCATTTTGCAATATTTACTAATATCAAATCATTATGTTGTACACCTGACACTAACATAATGTTATATGTCAATTATACCTCAAATAAAAAAAAAAAAATCTCCCCCTGGGGCACCTGGGTGACACAGTTGGTTAAGCATCGGACTCTTCGTTTTGGCTCAGGTCATGGGATCCAGGCATATGTTCGGCTCTGAGCTCAGCGCAGAGCCTGCTTTAGTTTCTCTCTGCCTCTCCCCTGCTTTCTGTTTCTCTCTCAAATAAATAAATAAATCTTAAAAAAAAAACAAAAAAAACCTCTCCCTAAATGCCAAAATAATTTTAGCTTAAATTTAATGGCCCGAATTAACTGTGAGAATGAAGAAACACATATATTCCAGATAGGAGTTGTAAAGTACAATCTTTCCAAAGTCACCTTTAATAATTATAGGAAGTACATGTGAATCCCTTTCTTCTTTCTCTTTTGACTGTAAGTGTCTTTGTTCTTTTTTTTCTTGGTACTTTAGAAATGATCTCTCCTTCCAGTGCATATTGCCATACTTCTCACGGGCTTTCTGTTGTGCTTCTTGGTGTTCCTTTCGCTTTTCTTCTATTATTTTCAGATCCTCTTTATTTTTCTCCTGTTCTCGCTCATACTTCCTCCAGTCAACAACTGCGCGTGCCCTTGGCTTTACAGGGAAAAAAACAGGCATTATCTAACTAAATAGAAACCAGTAACTTATGGGTTAAAAGCTTTGTGTTTTTCCTCAACTTAGCTTAGCTTAACTCATACATGAAACCACTAATTTTATAAATTTCAAGAAACTTATAAAACTTTAATCTGGGGGGCTCTGTGTATAACAGATGATTTAATTTAAAAATATTAGCTCAAATTTTTAAAAATTCTGTAGCCAAATTCTAAAATGGCACTACTGGCCCCCTCACAAGCCCTTACAATCTGCAATTATTTGTTAACATAAATATACTTATTTGGTATAACATCATAGATTAATATTTAAAATCACTGTATCATATCTAATATATAGGAATTAAACTTGATATACCTCAGATTCTACTTCAAGAATTTCATCTCCTGCAGAAGGGAGGTCTCTCCAGCCTACAATTCCCACTGGCATGCTGGGACAGGCCTCATGGATTGTTTTTCCATTCTCATCAAACATTAAGCGTACTTTTGCCCAACTCTTTCCAGCAACCAGAATTGAGCCTTTCCTCAAAGTTCCTCTTTGAATTATAGCTGTAGTAACAGGACTAAAAGGAAAACAAATGTATATATTCTTAATGCCATAATCAGGATGTAAGAACACTTTCTTAAGTAGAGCAAAGATATCTTTATGAGACTTAACTATATATAATATGAACACACAGGGTTAATCCCACTTCTCAATCAAGTTTTCATACTATAAAAACATTTCTACTTAATTGCCAAAAGGTGGAAGCAAACCAAATGTCCATCAACTGAAGAATAAAGAAAATGCAGTATATATATATATATATATATATATATATATATATATATATATACACACACAATGGAAAATTATGCCAGCTTAAAAAGAAGGAAAGCCCTGTCATATGCTCCAACATGAGTGAACTTACCTCAAGGACATTATGCTAAGTGAAATAAGCCAGTCAAAAGGACAAACACTCTATGATTCTACTCATATGAAGTATTTAAAGTAGTCAAAATCAGAGAAACAGAGAATTGAAAGATAGTTCTAAGGGCTGGGGAAGGAAGGAGGGATAAATTAGTGTTTCATGGATATATGATTTCAGTTGTACAGAATTAAAAAGTTCTAGAGATCTGTTGTACAACGATGTGAATATACTTAGTACTACTGAACTATACACTTAAAAATGGTTAAGATGGGGGCACCTGGATGGCTCAGTTGGTTAAGCAACTGCCTTCGGCTCAGGTCATGATCCTGGAGTCCTGAGATCGAGTCCCGCATCGGGCTCCCTGCTCAGCGAGGAGCCTGCTTCTCCCTCTGACCCTCCACCCTCTCATGTACTCTCTCTCATTCTCGCTCTCTCAAATAAATAAATAAATCTTAAAAAAAAAAAAAATGGTTAAGATGGTAAATTTAATGTTATGCTTCTTTTATCACAATTTTTTTAATGGAAAACAAAAACCATTTCTATAAGCTTATGGTAGTGGAGGGTGCAGATAGCTGAGTATTCTGACAGAATCCTAATCCTCGTTCTGTAACTAATTTGTTAAGCAGTGAAACTTCTTGCTGATAGGGAGAAAAATTAAAGAAGAGAAGAGCAATCCAAAGACCTTCCCATATATTATATTAATGGGGAAGGACATAAAGAATTTAGGAACCCTAAAATGCAACAATTGCTATTTCATTCCAATTTGTTGGTCCATGAGGCTTTATTTACCAATTCAGTTAAGTCAGTGGGGAAAAAAAAATTCAAACTGAACTACTTACATCATCTAAATGTGACTAGTAGGTATATACAGAGAGTTGCTATGGTCTACTGATAAATGCATTTTTTGTTCTGTGTGCTAGTGCCATAAAATGTTTTCAAAACAAATGCTTTGAAAATACTGTTCATGTCTAACAATAATATACAATAAAAATAATACACTGTTATATAATCAAGTCATAAAAAAATGAAAAAAAATATTAAAAAGCAAGCATTTTAACAGTCCTACCCTCTTCCTTTGTCTGTGAAAGATTCTATTACTGTTCCTTCTACTGGACCAGTGGGGTCTGCTTTCAATTCTAACATTTCTGCCAAAGCAATCGTTGCCTCTGCCAAAGCCATCAGATTATCACCCTTTAACAAAAAAAAGGAGTTAATATACAATAATAAAATATTATCTGTAAATTTATATACCAGGGTCAGAAAGCAAAATAATCCTTTACAGTTATATTATACTTTTAAGCATTAAAAGCATGAATCATCCAATTAGAAAGGAAACAAGGAAAGGAGGGAGGGAGGGAGGAAAGAACAAAGGAAGGAAAAGCAAGAAGACCTGATCGAGGGACAGATCTTTCAAGGAAGAATGGCTATTTTATTAAAAGGATGGCCACTAGTGGTGCTCCTTAATACCCTTTCATAAACACATTCTTCATTCATTCTCTCTCCTTCATCTGTCTCTACAATTGTGTCTTCTTCCTCTCACTTTCTTTACAATGCTACTCTGCATTTGAAATTTATCCAACTGAGCAAGCTTTCACATCTATTATTTCATTTGATCAACTTAAGAGTGCTGTAAAATAAATAAATCAAACATTACTTACTCTTATTAAATAAATAAGGAGAAAAAGTATGGACCAGACCCAGGCTTTAAGACATACTCCGTAATCACCAAGCTGTGCAACCTTGAAGAATCACTACTCCCTGGATCTCCTTTCCTCAATTGTAAAATGAGGAAGCTAGATTAGATGATTTGTTTCATGTTTAATGATCTATGTTTACTATACTTTCTAGGGCTCCCAGATCACACAGCTGATTAAGTGGTGATGGAACTGGAACTGATGGGCAAGGGATTTTTCCATTCTCTGTGTCAGCGAAGAGATTGCTCACTTGTCAGAGTATAAGACAACGGGGACAAGTGTAAACAAAATCAATGAAATACCTTGCTCACCTATCCTACTAGTCATTAATTCCAATTTACAAAATGCTGTCCTGAAAAGCAGAGCTGGGGTATTTCTTTGCATGAAGCGTCCTCTATCTCTACTTGGAAAAAAAAGCCTCATCTTACTTCCTGCCACTCCCTCCCAATTCCCTCCACTTGCCAGGAATCGTCTCTGCCATGCCTCCAAGTCTGCCTAAGCAGCTTTACATTTATCTACTCATCTCTGTTACCTGGGCAGAAAAGGTGACCATGTCTTCAAATGTTTTAATCTTGCCATGTGGCTTTCAGAGTGCAATAGCAATTGGGGTATAGTTGAAAGATAACAAAGCAAGGTGGCATTTTATGAGTTTCAGAGAAAAAGAGGCAAGGCTTTACTATTAATGGAGGAATGATTGCTAAGCATCTTAGAGGTAACAAATTTAGGAAAACTAAAGATAAAATGAGACCTAACTAGAGGAAGGTGGCCAAATATAGTACCATCCCTTCAGTGAATGATGAGGAAAAAGAGAAGTTTTATATATTATGTATAAACCATGGAATATGGTAGGAATGGACAAAAAAGGAAACTGTTACTTAGCAGCAACCTGTATAGGATAAGAGAATTGGAAAATGCTGTCACAAAGCAGGTACTTAGCTTTCTTGGTGTTTTTCAATCAGAAAATAGTAACTGGTCATTTAAAAGAAAATGGAATTCATCATAAATAACATAAAACTTATAGCAATTCACAGAAACATTGAATCAATCAGTAACAAACTGAACCTAAATGTTTTATCTTTTTATTAGTGAAGTTTTTGTTTAAATCTCCCTTAAATGCCCTAAGACCCATTCTGTATTTTTTCACTATAAAAACAAGTACTTTTTATTACAAACTGGATTTCATTTCTGCTTAAAACAGTCTTTAACAGCTTACTATTACCCCATCCTCACATCGTTTACCATTTGTTCTCATTCTAAGTATCCCATAATAAGAAAAGCATTAGGTCTGGACTTGATCCCCCACTATCCAGCTGTGGAATCCTAGACTGGTGACTAACCTTTCTGAGCCTACTTTCTAATCTGCCAAATCAAGATAATGATACCAGCTTTGCCTAATACTACAGAGGACTTTTAAACAACAACAGAAACGCTATTTGTCAAGATGTTGTTTCTGTGCACTATGTGCGTTAGGGACAGCAGGCCCATCTGAACACATCATCTCTGAGGTGCTTGCATTTACCGTGAGTGCAGAGATGTGCACTGCTTGGACGTCGCCTCCATAATCCTCACAGACCACATCATAAGCTAGCAGTTCTTTTTTCACTTTTTCAGGTTCAGCCTCAGCTTTGTCACATTTGTTTATGGCAAGGATGACAGGAACTGAAAGAGAGTTAAAAAGAGTGCAGATGAGGAAACCTTCAATGCCAGGTAGTGAAAGACACCAACCTTTTCTGGCTTTCTCTTTACCCAGCAGATGTACTAAACTAAAAGACAGACCTGAAAAAAACCTGCTTTAGCCACCCTCTACACTGCTTTCTGCATATAAAGAAGGATTCTGGATATGAGATGTCAAAACTATCATTATAAGCAGAGTCTGAATTAAGAATAGATACCTAAGATGATAAAAACCAAACAAATAAAAAACAGCACTGTGGGTAGAGAAAGGCCTACCTTTAAACCTGAATGTAAGATCAGCAACTACACTGAAGATAATCTCCAGAGAGAAAAAAAAATCAAGAGAAGATTCTAATCCAATTCTAAACCACTAGATCATTTGCGTCTTCTTTCCAGGAGCTATTAAGTCATTGTTAAGACCCAACATCTCATCCTGGGGTGAAACTAAGTAGCATTATCGTAAACTTTCTTTTAGGATTTATAGTAACTCTCTACTCATACACACTCAGTTACTGACACATAGTAGATTCTCAATAAATGTTTGCTTAATGAATGAACCAAATAATCTTATAATCTACTTGTCAATATCAAACATACCCTCCCATTAGAGAAATCACATAAAATGCTATGAGATAATTCTCTGGTTGGGTTTCATCAACTTTGCAATTTTCTCAGGTATCAAACAAGAAATTCACAATAGACACAAAAAAGTTATGCAATCTACAACCTACTATTATGAAAAAGTACATTCCATACGGATGAGCTGGAACTTAACAGGGACATGAGAACAGGTATAGAAAGCATGATTAAGAAATTTATCCTATCTCAACTACCTGCTTTGCAATGCAAATCCCTGGCAAATTTATCACTCTCTTCTTTTTGTTATATTCCCTAGAATCATGATGAACATAGCCCATTCCACTAAGGCAGTTTTGAGGAATTAAAAGGAAAAAGATTAACAATGGAAAGAAGACCAGATTCCAAGTGTGGACATGATACAAATTAACTGTAACTGGAGGCAGTTCCTGCCATTCTCTGGTTCTGTTTTCATGTTGTAAGAAAAGAACTGGCCTAGATAGTGATTGTCAACCTTTTTTTTTTCTCTTGCCAACAAACCTAGGGGAATATCATGCACTCTCCATTAGGTACACTTTCTCAAGACAGCAATATTTTCTCAATAGGTGTAAGATCATATCGGAATAAGAATGAATATACAAAGTATGTGTGTGGAAGAAGCAAGGGAGAAGATAGCTAAGTGATTTTCTAAGTTTCAATTTTACACCTTTGACCAAATAAGAACTTATTTAAAGCATATAAAGGAAAAGTTTCTCTTTATTTTTTTTTTAAGATTTTATTTATTTGAGAGAGAGAGCAAGCATGAGCAGGGGGAGGAGCAGAGGGAGAGGGAGAAAAAGACTCCCCACTGAGCAGGGAGTCAGACTCAGGGCTTGATCCCGGGACTCAGGATCATGACCTGAGTCAAAGGCAGACACTTAACCAACAGCCACTCAGGTGCCCGGAAAAGTTCCTCTTTAGAGATGAATTCCAGACAATAAATGAACAAGGAATAATAGAATTAGAGTATCAATACTTTGCAACTCCTGATGTATTTAGTTGGTGGATACATGGAAGTTCATTATTCTATTCTTACTTTTATAACTGTTTAAAATTTCCATGATAAAAAGTTTATTTTTTATTCATTTTAAAGATTTTATTTATTTATTTGACAGAGATAGCAAGAGCAGGAACACAAGCAGGGGGAGTGGGAGAGGGAGGGCTTCCTGCCGAGTAGGGAGCACGATACGGTGCTTGATCCCAGGAGCCTGGGATCATGACCCAAGCCGAAGGCAGAAGCTTAATGACTGAGCCACCCAGGCACCCCTAAAAAGGTTTTTTAAAAAGTCATTGGAAACCATTAAATTCTCACACCATGCCAAATAAGTAAACAGTATTGGAAGGACTATATTTGTGATCCCACATCCCCAGCTGAATCCTACTACACTCTTCTTAGTAGTTATGTCTGTGGGAAAACAATTCAACTGTCTTTGAGCCTTATCTGTAAATAGGTATAATAATCCTGGGATTGCCAAGAAGATTAAATGAGCTACATATAAAGGGCCCCAGAATAGCGACTTTAAGTAGTAAAACCTTTTTTTTTTTTAAAAAAAAAGCAACTTCTTTCCTGATACACGTAAGTCAGCCACATGGTACCTTGAGCGTCTTTGGCATGCTGAATAGATTCTACAGTTTGTTTCATCACTCCGTCATCTGCAGCTACAACCAATACAACAATGTCAGTGACCTGAGCACCTCTGGCTCTCATTGCTGAGAAAGCAGCATGTCCTGGAGTATCAAGAAAAGTTATCTTTTCCCCAGAAGGCAGAGAGACTGTGGAAACAGAAATCCAAGAACACTAAGGACTCAAATATGTACTTTCTTAATACAAAGGAATATATGTGAAATTATCAAGCAGAATCAACAATTCTTTAAAATGACTTATTCCTTCCATTAATCTTAATCAGGAACAATACAGTATCATTTCACACTGAAAAATAACAAAGCAGTGAAACCCTTAGGGTTTTCTTTTCATGTAATAATTTCAAACTAAAACTCTATTTCTAGAATATACTTTTCATAAATATAGCAACTGGTATCTATTCTGAAGAGAGAACAGACCAACAGTTATATAGGCAGTCTCCCCTTCATTAGCAAACATCAGCTGCACAACAAAGGCAATTTAGTATATGGTTAGGAGCTCAGGATTTAAGCCCAAACCCAGCCTTGAGTGTAAATCCTGGCTTTGCCACTTACTAGCTTTGTACTCTGAACAAGTAATTTAATCTACACAAGCCTCAGCTTCCTTATCTGTAAGTAGGAATATTAATACCCACCTCATGATGTTGTTGTGAAGATAAAAAATATAAAGCATATAAATAAGGTGCTCACCACAGTGCTGGGCACATGCTAGGTGCTCATTAAATGGTAGCTGTTACTTAATTATTAGCAACATTATCACAACCTAGCATTGAAGAATTGTAGTTTCATTAAACCAAACTAAGAATGAGCCAGAATAAAAAGGTAATAGAATTTTCTTCTTATAGAATGTACAAAATAAGCTTTGTTAACCACCTGCTCTACATTTCATCAGACCAATGGCTTTAAGCTTTAGGCTTCCCTTTTACTTTGAATTTGTCTATCTCATACTATGACACTTGGTTTAAGAAAATAGTATGTAGGGTTCCCAGGCACATTGTAAGGTAATGTGTGTCCATACCAAGAAAGGCACCAATGTGCTGAGTGATGCCTCCAGCTTCCATTGCTGCCACTTGAGTTTTTCGCAGTTTGTCAAGTAACGTCGTTTTCCCATGATCAACATGGCCCATTATAGTAACAACTGGGGACCTTGGGGTTAATAAAGCTGGATCTGCCTGAGGCCTACAATTAACAGCAAAGGAGTTTCATTTCTTAAATATCTTTATAGCCAGTGAATTGGTTTGCAGTCATCTCTGTGAACTACCATTAACAATAAAACCCAACATTCAGCTTTGATTAGATGTAACTATCTTCCTCTTCCGTAAGTACAATGACCTATGGCAAAATATATAATGACTGCCCACGTACAGTTGGCATCTTCATAACAATAAGCAGACGGAATAAGATTTTTAAATTCAGGATCAATATACACACTCGGCAAACTAAAAAAATAACCCTCAGAGTTCTATAAACTGAATATACTTACTGATGTTTTAAACACTTTGAAGAAAAGTTTAATCTACACTCCCACGTCATTTTAACGGCAAAAAAATTTTAAGGTACATTTTTCCACTATAAAGTGTGAATGAAACTATGTGGTTTCCTCCCCCCAACATACATGGTTAAGTTTTACCTTCTTACAGCATCTTTATTTTCTCTGACTTTGTCCTGTTTTAATTTGCTCCATTTTAACTTCATCCCCGCCTTCTTTACCACTTCTTTGATCCAGACTTCATCTAAACATGAGTGTGCTTCTAGTGAATCTATGTCAATAGCAGTGTTCATTAAAGCTTCATATACATTATCTGGGTGGAACAGATAAGACCTTTTAGGATGATGAATTAAATGTTCACAAAGTAACCTCTATTAATAAATGTCTATATATGAACAGTACACTCAATGAAAAGAATAACTTTATAAGCTGTTTCTCTAATGTTAACAAATCGCAAACAAGCTTAAAGAAAATAATCTTTAAAATATGATTTACTTATATTAACATTACTTAATTTATAAATATTTGAATATTTATGTACCATAAGAATCATCTGAGCTACCAATAAAACATTACATGTTGTATACATTTATATTGAGCAGTTTACCACAGCCTAGTTCTTTGAAAACTTGTAGTTACATATGTCATGCATATACAAATGTGTACACATAGATAGTCGATTCTCATTATTTGTGGTGGGTATGTTCTATAAACCCACCACAAATACTGAATTAATAATACTAAACCATCACTCTAAGGTGAAATACAAGGTTAGGTTCCTGCAGTTCCTGATCACATCTTCATTAGCCAATCAACATATTATGTGTTTCCGTTTCCAGACATCTTATTTAATATATATTGTCGATTCGGTAACGCTGAACTCACAGCCAAAAGCACTAAACCCAGTACATGAACAAAGTTTATCTAACACATGTATTTTCTCTGTAAAGCACATTACAGCCTTCTTGCAAGTTAGTAACACTAAACATTACTTCATTCAGCATTATGCTTAGGCTAATCAGCAAAATCAACAAAAAGAACAAAAATGTGAAAACATGACACTTAAATGAGCCACAAAATGACGATTGTTTACAGTATAAGAGCTAAAGCAAGAAGGCTAAGTGTTGCCTTGTTGAACCTCAGCTAGGAATGTGTGATTGGACAACTCAAATTTTTCACTGCTCCAGGCATGTCCAGGAATGACTGCAAAAGTATTCTGAATATTGATTTGGGGGCTATAAATACATTTTAGAGAATTCGGCAATACAAAATCCCCAAACAACAAGGATCAATTGGATGTATACATGCACACATACACATACACAGTGTTTCAGAATAAACATACATACATATAATTTATTTATTTATGTACCTATTTAGGGTGTCCAAAAAGTCTTAAAATATAGGAAAAATATTTACTTGGTATTCTTTTTTGCATTTTATTTAAGGTACTTTGTTTTCATTTCAGTCATATTTCCCTGTAGATGATAAATGAATGTATCTGTGATGATAATGAAATAAAGTAGATTTATGTTTCTAGACCTTCAATCACCCTTTAAATATGTATTTCAAGAAACAGATGTGAAACAAAGGGATCCTCAAATAAGCAGAACACAGTATGAAAAGAATATCCTATTCACTGGTGTGCAGGTAAATGTTTACTCACAAGACTCTCCAAAAAAAAGAAAAAAATCCCTGATTGTTATAGCATTTCTCAATTTCCATAGTGCAAATACTCCCACCATGCTTGATTACAGCTACCAACATGAAGTCACTGAACACAGAGATGGAAAGAGATGGGCAGTAGTACACCATTATATAGTACTCCCACCATATAGGTACATGGTGTAAATAACCTCAAGACACAGAAGATAGCAAAACACAGTAAAAATAATTAGGAGTGAGGGGTTTGATGAGTATTTATTACCTTTGTTTATGATTTAATTTTTGTAATGGTTGTGTTTACCAGCTCACATACTTCCTCAGAAGTTAGCAATTGGCCCAAAAGTTGGTGCAAGCCAGGCCCAGACATCACTGATCCTACCCTGTAAAGCCTAAACCCTTTCCTATGTATAGCCCCACCACATCCTTTCCCAAGAAAGCACATTTTAAAAGAATGATACAGTGCAAATTCTCTATATGGATATGCACTCAGAGAACAATAAAACTCTAAACATATAAATTATAATGAGTACAATTCTGTTTCTACTAATGCTAAAATCCCTAATAATCCAGTAACTACAGTTTTCCCTCGTTATCCTAAACTTTTGAAAGTAGCTTATACAGAGAATCTCTTTCCCTCTATATTAAATGCATTTAGTATTAACATATTATTTTATCTTTATCCAAGACTTAAACATTTACAAATAGAAAAGTGCCCAAAGCAATTCAACCAGAAATATTACATCTTAAGTTATTTTAATTGACCCAGGGGAGGAAAAAAAAATCTACTCACGTTGCTAATATAGTAGTTAAAAATATTTACCATCTTTTTTTTTTTTTTTTTTAAGATTTTATTTATTTGACAGAGAGAGACACAGTGAGAGAGGGAACACAAACAGAGGGAGTGGGAGAGGGAGAAGCAGGCTTCCCACAGAGCAGGGAGCCCGATGCGGGGCTTGATCCCAGGACCCTGGGATCATGACCTGAGCTGAAGGCAGACACTTAACAACTGAGCCATCCAGGTGCCCCATCTTTTTTTTTTTTTTTAAGTAGGCTCCAAGCCCAGCATGGAGTCCAACACAGGGCTTGAATTCACAACCCTGAAATTGAGACCTGAGTTGAGATCAAGGGTCGGATGCATAACCGACTGAGCCACCTAAGTGCTCCAAAATATTCACCATCTTTAATTCGAATAAGAGGCAAATATAATATTAAATAAGCTTTAAATAGATAACTTTTATTTAAATTATATATCAGTTTTGGGGCTAGAGCACCAATCCATAGGATTAAACTTATATTTTATTTTATTTATTTATTTATTTATTTATTTATTTATTTATTTATTTATTTATTTATTTATTTATTTATTTATTTTAAAGATTTTATTTGTTTATTTGACAGAGAGAGACACAGCGAGAGAGGGAACACAAGCAGGGGGAATAGGAGAGGGAGAAGCAGGCTTCCCGCGGAGCAGGGAGCCCGATGTGGGGCTCGATTCCAGGACCCTGGGATCATGACCTGGGCCGAAGGCAGACGCTTAACGACTGAGCCACCCAGGCGCCCCCTAAACTTATATTTTATTTTATTTTATTTATTTATTTATTTATTTATTTATTTTAAAGATTTTATTTATTTATTTGAGAGAGAGAGAGTGAGAGACAGAGAGCATGAGGAGGAGGAGGGTCAGAGGGAGAAGCAGACCCCCTGCCAAGCAGGGAGCCCGATGCGGGACTCGATCCCGGGACTCCAGGATCATGACCTGAGCCGAAGGCAGTCGCCTAACCAACTGAGCCACCCAGGAGCCCCTAAACTTATATTTTAATTATACTATTTATTTGGCAATACAAAAGAATTATTACAGTTATGGGGGGGAGGCAATGTTTAAAAAAAATCCTCAGGGAGCTTGGGTGGCTCAGTTGGTTGAGCGTCTGCCTTGGGATTTCAGCTCAGGTCATGATCTCATGGGTCCTGGGATAGAGTTGCCTCAGGCTCCCCGCTCAGCAGGGAGTCTGCTTGGGATTCTCTCTTTCCCTCTCCCTCTGCCCCCTCCCCCTGACTTGTGCAGCTCTCTAGCTCTCTCTCTCTCTAAAATAAATAAACAGATTAAAAAAAAAGAAAGAATCCTCATTTTTAAGTGATAAATACAGAAATAATTATGGGTTGATAGATTAATAATTGTCACTGCCTTATGCATATATTATTCTTATTATTCCATTCTTTCTGCTTTCATATATGGATGAAAATTGCCCATAATAAAAGTCTTAAAAGTTACATCTATTATCAATATTATTTATAAAATTATATCAGTACACTTTTCTTTGGAAAAATTATCAATGATACAGCCATATGTATTTGTTCTCTTAAAGTTTTTTTAATAAAATGATTACACAATCCACTGCAAAGTTATAAAAATACTAGACTGGGTGAATTTTCTATTCTTTGTAAGGATGTATATGTACAAAGAGTGGTAACACTTTCAGGCAGGACATACATTAAAATTCTAGCTCTGCTGTAATTAAAAAATAACAATTCTTGGAAGATAATTTGGTCTGTGAATAAGGGCATGGCCTCTGTAGCCATACTCCCTGAGTTCAAATCCTCGCTCTACCACATACTGTGGCAATTATTTATCCTCTCCATGCCTCAGTTTCTCAACCTATAAATGGGGGTAATAATTACAACTACCTGTGGTGCATTGTGAGAATTACATGAGTTAATATATATAAAGTACTGGTGCACAGTAACAGCTCAATAATATGAGTTATTTTTTTTTTCCAAGAGTCTGCCTTGTCACTTTATTTTGCTACAATAATAGGCTATTTCTTATTTACTGAATTTTATTTTTTTTTTAAGATTTTTATTTATTTATCTGAGAGAGAGAGAGTGCTTGCACAAGCTGGGGGAGAGAGGGCAAAGGCAGAGGGAGCAGCAGACTCCCCGCTGAGCAGGGAGCCTGATGTAGGGCTCGATCCCAGAACCCTGGGATCTTGATCTGAGATGAAGGCAGATGCTTAACTGACTGAGTCACCCAGGCACCCCATTTACTGAACTGTAATGTCAGTTTATAATGGGAACTCAAATTCTGTTCCAATAATCCTAAATTGGTAATAAATACACCAAGAATGCAATGAAGGAATAAAAGAAAAAAAGGGACAATGATGCTATACATTTATAAATAAAAATAGTGGGCACCTGAGTGGCTCAGTTGGTTAAGCGACTTCCTTCAGCTCAGGTCATGATCCCGGAGTTCTGGGATCAAGTCCCGCATCAGGCTCCTTGCTTGGTGGGGAGTCTGCTTCTCCCTCTGACCCTACCCCCTCTTGTGCTCTCTCTCTCTCAAATAAATAAATAAAATATTTAAAAAATAATAATAAATAAAAATAGTATTATTAAAAGTTACTACTAAAAATATTTTTCTGCTGGCACTACAGATATTGTTACAAGTGAAAAAGAAAATCAGAAATCACAGACAACAAAGGGAAAGTAAGTTAAGTATAAATACAATCCTTCAGTCCAAAAACATTCTTTGGACTTACTCTAAAAGCCTACAGAATTTCTGAGAAACAGGTGCCTAGGTGGATCAGTCGTTAAGCGTCTGCCTTTGGCTCAGGTCATGATCCCAGGGTCCTGGGATTGAGCCCTGCGTCGGGCTCCCTGCTCGGCGGGAAGCCTGCTTCTCCCTCTCCCACTCCCTCTGCTTGTGTTCCCTCTCTTGCTGTGTCTCTGTCAAATAAATAAATAAAATCTTAAAAAAAAAAAAAGAATTTCTGAGAAACAAGGGTTAGTGTAGATAAGAAAATATTTTCCACTTTTATTAAAAGCAAAATCTTAAGAGAACTCTATTTGGCAAAGAGATAAGAAACTAATAAGAGTTTGTGACCTAGAGTGAAAAATACTGGAATGATTTAACATCTTTTTAAACCATCAGTCTAATTTTCATCTTTGAACGTCTTGGTCTCATTGCAAATAAAAATGCCAGGTATTCCATTTCCCATATTTTTCCTCATAAAATTATCTCACCCACCTACGTCTTTTTTCATTGCTCTGGCCAGTTCCTCAATAGTCATTCCAATCCATACCTCCACCTCCTTTTTGGATTTTGTTGAAAATAACTGAGATTTCTGTGATCTTTCTTCCTAGTAAAAATTCAGGACACATACAGAAGGAAAAAAAAAAAACTTTAAGTGACAGTGTAGATTTATTCTGGAATATCTACCACAATAATGGCTCCTATTTCTACCAACACTCCCACAAATAGCTAAACCTCAGACTAAAATTTACAGTCCTGCACCCCTAATTCACTATTATATACTAATTTCCAAGTAATCAAATTCATCAGCATTACTGAACAACAAACTAGAACTTCCCTTCTTCACAAAGATTTACTGCCTGGAGTGCAGCATTAAGGAATAAAGATTCTGGAAATTACAAATACCCAAAATGGATTTCTACTCATGGCTGTAGGCACTTTCACCTCAGACCAAATAATATAGTAACTGATAGAAATCTAAACCTACCTTCTTTGTTACTAGAAGCCTATATTGAGATAAAACCACCCCAATGAGCGGGTCTGTTTGCCAGGGCCGGATGCAGAGCTGAGCTGTCCACACCGGGTAAGCAGATGAAAACACATGATTCCACTGTGCTAACATTCTTCTTTGACGTAGGCTGTGCAGCTGCCTAAAGACAGTGTGAAATCGTAGCAAGTTCTCCAATTTCAGTATCTTCTGGTTCATGTTTCCCCTGGAGAAAGTTTTAAAATAGTATCTTGGTTAATATGAAAATCAAGTTAGCAAATATTAAGTGGATATCTACTCCATGAAAAACACTGCGCTGGAGTTATAAGTAGAGCTAGATTCCTGCCCTGAAAGAACTCACAGGCTAATCAGGGAGATGGAATTCCATACTACTCTCTAGATGTTAACTATCATTATTGTTAATGTTCCTACCACAACAGAACTGAAATACAACTTATACTTATTATACTTATTCCTCTCCCACTCCCCCTGCTTGTGTTTCCTCTCACGCTGTCTCTCTCTCTCTCCCTGTCAATTAAATAAATAAATAAAATCTTTAAAAAAAATAAAAATAAAAAATAAAATGCAAATTTGAACTCATCAGCTCTTTGCTAACCACCCTCCAGTGGCTGGCCATTTTCCCATTTCAAGAAAACATGCTATATAAGGACTCATTATCTGCCCTCTGCTAACCTCTCACTTCATGTCTTACACTCTTATAGTTCCCTCCCTCCTATCTCCAAGCTTTTGTTATTCTGACCCCCTGTAATCTCCAATGGCTTCTCATCTCATTTTTGAACCTTTGCATATGCTATCTCTTCTTGGAATTGTCTTTCAAGCCTCAATATTTTTCCCTCTTCCCCCCTCCCCCTCCCCCCAAAAAGATGCTTTAGAGGGGGAAGAAGGCACCTAATAAACATCTATTGAATGCCTTCTGAATATTATTCTTGGAATGAAAGAACAGTTACCTAAGAGAAAACTGCAACAGAACTCAATGGTGTAGTTCAGAACTCAAGAGTATAGTTATTTTTCTCCTTGAGTCTTCTTTCTGCTCTCAGTACTGCATTTCTACAGCTTTGCTTTTCAGTTTTTAAAGAGCAAATAAATAATGTGAGATGTACATGTTTTCTCCTCAACAAACATTTCCTGAGTACCATCTTCCAGACATTACATTTGAGGACGTTGATTCAAAGTTTAATGAGCTAGAGTCCCTTCCTTCAGAATTTACTGTCTTTAAAGAGCTCCAAAATAAGATTTCCAGGCACATGAAACACCTCAAGAATGGCACATTTTAAAAAAGCTTATTTAGGTACATGTCCCTGGTTTAAGAAGTGAAGGGATTCCTTTAGGAAAAAAATTTTTAATGAGTCTAAAACCAGACCTGACAAGGGCATATATTAACGGAATGGAAAGAAAAGCACTACATGGAGACTAACCAAAGCACAGATAACTGAGGCAGGAATCAGAAAAACACACTGGGGGCAATAATCCAGCTGTGAAAACTGAAAGGAACCTTACTTGCTACTTTTATTCCAAGCTCCTCATTTCACAGAAAAGGAAAATGAAGAGTCCAGGGACGTCAAAAAGATTTCTCCAATGTCATACCACCAATTAGTGACAGTCAGGCCTAGAAGACAGGCTGTCTGACTCCCAATTCGGTGTTCTTTCGCAGCTAGGATATTCTTATCATCGAATCTGAAAAGAGATGCTGGAAAAACGTGGCTGCGTTGGTAGAAAGGGCTGAATGTAGGAGGTGTCAGCCTTGGAATTTATCCGAAAGGTAAAAAGAAGTCATTGTAGAAAAATGACAGCCCTGGGCGCCTGGGTGGCTCAGTTGGTTAAGCGACTGCCTTCGGCTCAGGTCATGATCCTGGAGTCCCGGGATCGAGTCCCGCGTCGGGCTCCCTGCTCGGCAGGGAGTCTGCTTCTCCCTCTGACCCTCCCCCCTCTCATGCTCTCTGTCTCTCATTCTCTCTGTCTCAAATAAATAAATAAAATCTTTAAAAAAAAAGAAAAGAAAAGAAAAATGACAGCCCTGGTGTGGTTTCGCCTCGAACCCGGGCTCCGGCCCGGGGCAGCCGCTGCGCGCTGGGAGCGGGAGTCAGCCCGCCGCTTCGGGGCGAATAACGCTTTCGCTACGCCTGAGGCGGGGTCACGCAGGGATTAAATGCCCCGCGGAAAGGCTTCCGGTCGCTCAGTGTTTACAGCCCGTGCCACTGCCACTGCAGGCCAAACAATACACACTCCCCGGGACGACCCGGCAAAGGAACCCCACTCACTTGGCTGCTACATTAGGCCTGGGCGTCCGGATTCTGAATCACCTTGCGGACCCGGGACTACCCTCCGTCAGTCCGGCAGTCCGTCCCCGAAAGGGTCCCCGTCGGACTTCCGGTCCCGCCGGAAGCGGTCCTTCCCGGATTTCGGAAGCCCGAATCTGAAATAGCTGCGGCGGCCAGGGGTAGGGTTGTCGGAGGTGCCCCAGTGGGCCCCCAGAGGATAGGCGGGGATAGACGCTCCTTCAGCCTGTGGCCGCCTCCCGGCGTCAGCCGCGCGTCGGCAGTCGCTTCTGCAAGTCCCTTCACTTTTCTGGGAAGTTCCTTACTGCTACCCTGGGGCTTGAGCGGCCTTGGTGCTGAAATGCTGAAATGTGGGAGAAATGACCCATACCTAAGAAGGAGGGGAAAATGCAAGGGAACGTGGTGATAGAACCAGCTAGTACTCGGCGAGAGGCGCCTTCCCTTTCAAAAGTCGCCTCATTCATGGGTAGCCAGCGTTCCAGTCTCAGTTCATTCCCCGTTGTGTAGGCTTGGGCACGTTATGTAAACTCTCTGTGCCTCGGTTCTGCACGATGGTAATGATAGCAGCCGCTTCGTAGAAGAGCAGTAAGGTTTATAAGAACATCTGGTTCATAATAAGGGTTTGGTGTTGCGACTATTACAGCCTCTCCCAGAGCACTCCCACAACTTGATCGGACATGATGTCTTTTGGCCTGTCCCTTTGACCACAACCTGCACCAGTTCTCGAGAGTGTAAGTATTGTTTTAACTCTGTCCTTCAGGTCTAACACTACCCTCGGCTAATGATACAGTACAGGAGAGTTTCTTACTCAAAAGCATACTTACCCTTACCTCCCTCCCTTAATCTGGCCTCCTAATTCATGCCTCCTCCCCTTGATTTTTTATTATTATTATTATTTTAGGATTTTATTTATTTGTCAGAGAGAGAGAGAGAGCACAAGCAGGGGGAGCCGCAGGCAGAGGGAGAAGCAGGCTCTCTGCTGAGCAAGGAGCTTGATGCTGGACTCCATCCCAGGACCCTGGGATCATGACCTGAGCTGAAGGCAGACACTTAGCCGACTGAGCCACCCAGGCGTCCCTCCTCCCGCTTGATTTTTGTCTTCCCACTGCCTGCCACAGGTATGCAATTGGCGTTGGATTAATGGAAACCTCTGTCTTGGAAGTTTTTTTTTTAACAAACCTAACACCCAAACAGTTGAAAACTATTAAAGTTCATTACATTTGCTATCATTTTACTTACCATTTACAAACACCCACTGAAGTACAATTTCTGCAAGAAATTGTTCTTTGCTTTCTTATTTGCTTTACCAAGCCCTTGAGAAACAAGCAGGAATTGGTTGGTAGAATATCAAAGTAGTGGTCATATCTCCCCCACCCCCGAATTTTAAGTGAAAATAACTGATACTTTTCTAATCATGAAGATAATACTAGTAGAAAATTCAAGTAATACTTCCCCTCCTCCAAGTATATAAAGAAAGTGGCTAAAAAGCAAACAAAAGGATGAGGGCAGTTAAAGAACAGAGGAGACAAGCTATAAGACCACCTAGTGGCCAAAGCTGGCAACAGTTGAGCAACAAAATAACACTGTGTTGGGTTACAACCTCAAGTATCAAATAAGCATACATGCATTCATGCTGATATAAAGAAATGATTGAACGAATAAATAGGGGAGAAGGGACAAATTCTCCCTACAGAAGAATTCTATATAATACATGTATATAACTGCCACTAGGAGGTAAAGCTTAATTCATCTCCACTTGAGTGAGGGCTGGCTTAGTGATCTGCTTCCAGAGAATAGAGTATGGAAAGGGAAAAACAGTAACTGGCAGACACCACCTTAACCAACTGACCCAGGTAAACATCATCAGTGATGTCATGTTGATATCATGTGCCCCCTAAAATGATATGATGAGGACCTTTTATCTCTGTAGCATCCTTCCAAAACCCCACAACTCTACTGTAATCACGGGGAAAACATCAGACAAACCCAAATTGAAGAGCATTTTACAAAATATCTGTCAAGGTCATGAAAAACAAGAAAAGACTATCACAGGTCAGAAGAGGAGACATGATGACCATATGTAATGTGGAATCTTGGATACAATCTTGGAAGAGAAAAAGCACCTTAGTGGAAAAACTAGTGAAATCTGAATGAAGTCTGTAGTTTAGTTAATTGTAATACCCCAGTGTTAACTTCTTAATTTTCATAATTGTATCACAGTTAATATAACATGTAAACATTAGAGAAAACGGGGTGGAGGACATTTGAGAATTCTTCACTGTCTTTGTAACTTTTCTATAATCTAAATTTATTCCAAAATTTAAAGTTTCTTCTTTAAAATAGAAAGTGAGGGGCGCTTGGGTGGCTCAGTCGTTAAGCGTTTGCCTTCGGCTCAGGTCATGATCCCAGGGTCCTGGGATCGAGCCCCGCATCGGGCTCCCTGCTCTGCAGGAAACCTGCTTCTCCCTCTCCCATCCTACCCCCGCTTGTGTTCCCTCTCTTGCTGTGTCTCTCTCTGTCAAATAAATAAATAAATAAATAAATAAATCTTAAAAAAATAAATAAATAAAATAAAATAGAAAGTGAGTCAAATCCTAAATCCCACCTATCCAGAGGTAACCACTTTTATTATTTTGGTGCACATCATTCATTTATCTCTATGTATAAATACCTACACATGCAATTGTATATAAATAATATTCATACTATAAATGCTGTTTTTAATCTTTGCAAAAATATATAATGGAAACCTTCCATGCTGATGGACATAGATCCATATCCTTCTTTTTAAATGACTCTGAAGGATCCCATTGTCTATAAGTGCCATACTTACATAGGCACATATATGGGTCGTTTCAAGTATTTAACTTATAAACAATATTGCATTGAATATTCTTTTTTTTTTTTTAAGATTTTATTTTTAAGTAATCTCTACACCCAACACGGAACTCAAACTTACAACCCGAGGTCAAGATTGCATGCTCTACCAGCTGAGACAGCCAGGCACCTCACAGTGACTATTCTTGAGTATACACCTCTGCATGCCAGTTCAGTTCTTCCTCTAGAATAATACCTAAAACTGGAAGCTCTATGTCCTTTCAGTGGAGAATGGTATTTACTATCTAAGCTCTGGGTGTTAGGTGTCTTTATTGTTACTGGAGTTTCACTGCTCTCAAGCTCTCTGTGGACAAACCTAGGGAATATATATATATATATGTATATATATATATATATATATGTATGTATATATATATATATATGTATGTATATATATATATATATATGTATGTATGTATATATATATACACACACACACACACACACACATGCACACATTTCATCCATATACATTGAAAATCATGAGTTCTTACTAATATCACCAATTCCGATCTAAGACCACAGGTTCACTCTAGTCTTTTCCTTTTCCAGGTTTATAACTTCCTTTTTTGGCAGTGAGAAACTTGACTTTCATCAAACTTGACAAATTTAATTATTTGAGCAATTCCCCTGTATGAAACTTAAACTTCAACTTGGCCACCATCCCCTTCCTTGAGCTTATGTTCTCCTTACCTCTTTTCAGCCTGGACTCCCCAGGCCAATCCACCCCTTGAAGTGGATATCCTCCACACCCTGGTTGGAGTAAAATGTTAAAATTAGGGGAAATAGGATGAAGGACATTTGGGAACTTTCTCCTCTGTCTTTGCAACTTGTCTGTGAATTTACAGCTAAGCAGAGCCACCAGAACCCCCTACACACCCCATTCCTGCCCTACATCTGTGGATGCCTATCTCACTCTCACCTCTAATGGCTTTAGGACTAAATTGAGAAAGGGGAGGGATGCAGAAGGGGTCTTATTCCCACTTCATCTCATGTCCTTTGTTGGCCTTCTAAAAGTCTGATCATGGGGCACCTGGGTGGCTCAGTCGTTGGACGTCTACCTTCAGCTCAGGTCATGGTCCCAGGGTCCTGGGATCGAGCCCTGCACCGGTCTCCCTGCTCAGCGGGAAGCCTGCTTCTCCCTGTCCCACTCCCCCTGCTTGTGTTCCCTCTTTCGCTGTGTCTCTGTCAAATAAATAAATAAAATCTTTTAAAAAAATAAAAACAAAAGTCTGATCATATTAACCATGAAACAAAACATGTTTGGACATAGGACACTTAACCACGAATAATATTTCATATTACCATCTTCTTGGTGAGAGCCATTTCTCAGAACTATTAAATAATAGGCCATAAAATACACTTGATGAGCAAACTTGAATCGAAAGAACAGTAAAAACAACAAACAAAAAAACCAAAACAGGGGCCAGGCCTGGGTTGCTCAATCAGTTAAGCATCTGCCTTCGGCTTAGGTCATGATCCCAGGGTCCTGGGATCTAGTCCTGCTTCTCCCTCTGCCCCTCCCCCCTGCTTGTGCTCTCACACTCTATCAAGTAAATAAATAAGTAAGTAAATAAATAAATAAAATCTTTAAAAAAAACCCAAAAAACAGAAGCAACTGTATTGCAGCCCTTCCCTTTCTAGCAAATGGCTTGAACTTTTACTAGTTCTGCCTTTCAACTTGCTCCCTCTACCAACCTTTTTCTTGCCTTTCAAGATCTTGACTGAAAGCTCCCCAGGGGGCTAGGTCACTTCAATATCCAGACCGACTATAGTTCTTGGTGATAATTAGGGCTAGACTGCCTTCCATGAAAGAGGCAAGGCGATTGCTGCCAAGCTGGGAAGACAGTGCTACAAGGAGCTACATTCATTTCACTGGGCCTCTTCTAGCAGGAGGACATCACAAGGAACAACATAAGAACAAGCGTCTTCCAAGGAGCAACTGGTCAGGGCTGCAGGAAAGCAGACCAAAATGACAAGATTTAAATCTGTTTTGTTTTCTGTCTCAAGTGTCATTTGTTGGCTTCATAAAGCAAAGAAACCCTGCAGTAAAAAATTGCTAGAGAAATGGTGCCAGGCATTTTTAAACTAGAAAAGACTTTAGAACCTGAATCATGGCAGCCTAAAATTATCCATAATAGTTATAATCCTCACTTATCTCTTCATTGCCAATTATTTACCAGTCATGTAAATATTATATTTAATATTTTATACAGCAGTTGTTCTTGGAGCATTAGCAGATTTGAGGCCCACTGATGATTCAGTTTTTCTTTTTCTTTTTTTTTTCCTCTTTTCTTTTTATATTTCAGTTTTTTTCTTTAAAAGGAGCGAGTTGTGTACAGGGGGATTAAATGCTTTATAGACAAGAAAAAAAAACTATGCTAGCACCAACTTACTCATCATCCTCTTCATCCTCCTCGTCTTGCTCCTCTTCCTCCTTTTTCTTGCTTTTTTCGGCCTTGCTGACTCCCTTTTTTGCCGCCTCAGGCGTCTCTTTGGCTCAGTGTGCAGTGATGTCCTTTTCACATTTTCCCTGCAGCCTGGCAACCTTCTTTTCACGAGGCTGCTCGTCATCCGCAGCAGCGTTACTCCACATCCCTTCCAGTTTCTTTGCAACGTCACCAGCGGATAGACCAGGATGTTCTCCTTTGATTTTAGGGTAATACTCAGAACAAAATGAGAAAAAGGCCACAGAAGTCCTCTTGGGTGCATTGGGATCCTTGAACTTCTTTTTTGTTTCTCTTTTGGGGGGGCATAAGTTTTCATTTCTCTTTCACAACCGGCCTTGTCCGCCTTTGCCACATCTTCGAATTTTCCTTTCTCTTCCACCCCTCTGAGTGTCTCTTAGAAAACT